TCAGTGACTTGATGCAATTTGCTGGGTTCCTTATATAGGAAACATTATTTCTGATTGGCTTCATGAACTGTGAATTGGAATGTTTATTATGTGAAGTGCCTTGACACGACTCTTGTCGTGATTTGGCGTTATATAAATAAACTTGAATTGAATTGAAGTTATCTTGGGATATGCCTGCGCCATCAGGGAAGATGGAATAATCTGGTCATTCAGGATATTAAGATAGTCAGCTGACCTCATTCTTGGAGCACATCCTGTTGCTGAACCTAGACCCGACCAACTGAGGAAACCCCAGATAGTACGGCCCCACAGGCTACTTGTTGCCAGCTGAAAGATGATCCCCCATGCAGCAATTGTCCAATTGACACATTTAAAATGTTTATTTAGTTAATTTTGATGATTATAACTGACAACTAATGAAATTCTTAAATTTAGTATCTCAGCATCTTAGAATATCAATTAAGACCAGTGCGGGCCAACTGAAAAGTATGAACATGAAAAGTATGAGCATGTACAGCACTCAATATTTAATTAGGTCTCCTTTGGCCTGGATTACTGCAGCAATGCGGCATGGTGTGGAGTCCATCAATCTGTGGCGCTGCTCAGATGTTGCTCTGATAGTGGCCTTCAGCTCTTATGAATTGTTGGGTCTGGTGTATTGTATCATCTCTTCACAATACTCCACAGATTTTCTATGGGCGAGAGTGCTGACCAATCAAGAACCGATACCATGGTTCTTAAACCAGGTACTGGTAGCTTTGACACTGTGTGCAGGTGCCAAGTGCTGTTGGAAAATGAAATCTCCATAAAGTTGGTCAGCAGCAGAAAGCATGAAGTGCTCTGAAACATCCTGGTAGTTGACTGCATTGACCTTTGACCTCAGAAAACACAATAGACCACCACCAGCAGATGATATGGCACCCCAAAACAACACCGACTGTGGAAACTTTCCACTGGACCTCAAGCAGCATGGACGCTGTCCCCTCCTCTCTTCTGTCACACTCTGGGACCTTGATTTACAAAGGAAATGCTAAATTTACTTTCATCAGAGAACATAACTTTGGACTAGGGATGCACAATATATCGGCATCAATATCGGCATCGCCGATGTTGGGCAGTTTTCAACTTATTGGTATCGGTCCGATAAATACAACTGGGCCGATATTAACAACCAATATTTTTTCCATCTTGTTTCCGTTTGTTTATCTGTTTCAGAGGGTGAGGGGAGGTGATGTGTATTTGTTTAGTCATGTGACAGTGATCATCATCTCAGAAGCATGTGTGTGGTATGTGTACATAATAACATAAATCCAGCTTAAATAATTTTCATTCTATACAAAATCTACTGATTTTAGAAGCATTAATGTAAGTATATTGGTATCGGTAAATATCGGTTATCGGCCACAACAGTGATATTAATATTGAATATTGAATCGGCCCAAACATTTCATATCGGTGCATCATTACTTTAAACAACTCAGCAGCAGTCCGGTCCTTTTAGCCCAGGCGAGACGCTTCTGACGCTGTCTCTTGCTCAAGAGTGGCTTATCACAAGGAACGCGACAGTTGAAACCAGGTCTTACATATGTCTGTGCGTGGTGGTTCTTGAAGCACTGACTCTAGCTGCAGTCCACTCTTTTTGAACCTCCCCATGTGAATGGATTTTTTTCTATCACAATCCTCTCCAGGGTGTGGTTATCTCTATTGCTTGTACACTTATTTCTACATCATGTTCTTCCCTTCTCCTCTATATTAATGTCCTTGGACACTGAGCTCTGTGAACAGCCAGCCTCTTTAGCAATGACCTTTTGAGTCTTGCCCTCGTTGTGCAAGGTGTCAATGGTCATCTTTTGGACAGCTGTGTACTTTTGTAAGCTACACAATCACGGGGAAGACTCCTGACTTGACAGAGAGACTATTTAAATGCTTTTGCATGTGTTTTGAGTTAATTAGCGTGTGGCATCAGGGGTCTTCAATATTGAAGCTTTCTAATAGTATTCTAATATTCTGAGATGCTGAATTTGGGATTTTTATTTGTTGTGAGTTATAATCATCAAAATTAAAGACATTAACATCAGAAATTTTTCCGTCTGTGTTTAATGAATTATACTAATATACAAGTTCCACCTTTTGAATGGAATTACTGAAATAAATCAACTTTGTCATGATATTCTAACTTTATGACCAGCACCTGTATATTTGTGTTTACCTGTCCTTGCTACCTCTTCATCCTTTTTTGAACCGTTTTTAATGTCTTTTAATAATACTTTACCATGTTGACATCAAAAGAACATTCTAGTCATTCAGTCAGTTGTTTCCTAATAAGTTTGGACGAAGTCTTTATCCAATCTGGGTAATTTTAGGGTACAAAAAACCACATGTGTGTGTATGTGATCTTCTCAGAAATATGAAATTTTTTCTTCATAAAAACAAACTAGGCTCTGATTTGGACAAAACTGATGAAGAAAAAATGCCTTCACAGTGGAAATAGGAAGAATGATATCCATATATAAAGAGTTTAGAAAAGTTGTATACAGTCAGTCCTGATGACTAAATAATCAGCCTGAACAAAGAAGTTGTTCTTTCATGAACCTTTTAACTGATTCTTTTAAATATACCTTTAATTTATCCTGAATGGTTAGTTAATATTTGATTGCATGTTCAGCTTTTAAAAATACATTTTCAAATGAAAAATAACCTTGTCTTCAAATCTCACTTTATGGTACAAAAAAACATTAAAAATGAGCAAAATTAGTGATTTTTTAAATTATTATCTTGATATATATATATTGATATCAACGGATATAAAAAATATTGTGATGGTATTTTTTTAGTTTCTATTTGAGTAAACTGGTTTTTATTCTTGAATAAAACAGATAAATGGCTTAATGGCTGCAGACAATGGGGAACTCACAGTGTTAGTATTGTTAGATCTTTCTGCAGCTTTTGACACTGTTGATCACAGCACCTTAATTAACAGACTTGGTGACTCGGTGGAGATCTCTGGAACTGTTCTAGACTGGTTTAGATTGTATCTTTCTAACAGAAGTTACAGTGTCTTTATAAACCAAATCATGTCAGATTCTACTAATCTGTTCTGTGGGGTTCCCAAGGCTCTGTTTTGGGTCCACTGTTGTTTCTGCTGTACATACATCCTCTTGGACAGACACTTGATTCTTTTCATAATGTCTTTTATCACCTATATGCAGATGATATTCAGCTGTACTGCTCCTTTAAGGATTCTGAATTCTATAAACTGCCTGAATTACTAGAGTGTCTATCAGCGATCTCCAGCTGGCTAGAAGAAAACTTCCTTCAGTTAAACTCTGAAAAGACTGAATGTCTGATCATTGCCCCTGAGAGCATGATTCCCCTGATTAGTCTAAAACTTGGTCATTTATCCTCTGCCGTCAAGACAAACTGAAGGAATTTGGGTGTTATTTTTGACCAATGTCTCTTGAAGGTCACTCAAAAACGTTGGTCCAAAACTGTTTATAACATTTAAGAAATATCTCCAAACTGCGAAGGTTGGTGTCAAAACATGAATTTGAAATGGTTATCCATGCCTTTATCTCCTCCCGTCTAGATTACTGTAATACACTTTTCACGTTTTAACAAAAAAGCCCTTGACCGCCTTCAGTTGGTCCAGAACTCTGCAGCGAGGCTCCTAACTGGAGCAAACATAATGGCACACATCACTCCTATTCTAATGTCTCTGCACTGGTTACCTGTTAACTTTAGAATCCATTTTAGAATCCTGATTATTACTTTCAATGCGCTACATCCGGGGTGTCAAAAATGCGGCCCGCGGGCCGAATCCGGCCCGCAAACGGGTTAAATCCGGCCCGCGAGATGGTTGTGTAAACTTTATTTTCATACTTTACAATGTAGAGTGAAAATAAACTTATCTTTGCGAGAAAGTTTTCTCTGTAATGAGTATAAATGCAACAAAGTTGCGCTCAAGGCTCACACAAGAACTAAAATCACATCCTGAAGTTGGCCGCCACTCAGGATGTGACTTCTGATATTGATGTTCTGATGAAAGCTAAAAGATGTAAAGTAAAATGAGTCAAATATACTTCAAGTGCTGCACGAAACTGATCTAGCCATGTGATCTGTAAGCTCTTTGAATCACTAAGGAATGTTTATTTATTTATTGATTTTTTATTTTATTTTTCAAAATTTTCAAGTACACTTCAGGTGTTGTACTTGTACTACACTGTCCTCAGGCTCCAGCCTTGTTTTATATTGATTGTATTAAAACAAAGAAAACAATCTGAAGTTTTTTTTTTTACTTACCGGTCCGGCCCACTTGGGACTAGATTTCCCTCAATGTGGCCCCTGAGCTAAAAAGAGTTTGACACCCCTGCTCTACATGGTCAAGTTCCTCCCTATATTACTGAACTTTTAAAGCCTTATGCTCCAACCCGAGCCCTCAGGTCCACCCACCAGAACCTTCTAGAAGTTTCAAAGACCAGATACAAAAGTCGAGGTGATCGCTCCTTCCTGACTGTTGCACCCCGACTCTGGAATGATCTTCCTTTATCCTTACGCAGTGTTGACGGTCTGGACACTTTTACAAAACAGCTAAAGACCCTTTTATTTAAAGCTGCTTTTACCTAAAACTTTTATTTTCTTATTTTTAAACTCCAATGTTTAATCTTTCATCTGTTCATGAAATTTTATAATTTTACGACTTAGATTTTTCTGACGTTAATCTGATTCTGTTTTGAGAGCATTTTGATTTTATGATGTTAATCTATTTATGATTTTATGACTTAGTTTTATTTTGTTTTGATCTATGTGAAGCACTTTGTGATTCTATGTCTGTGATGAGTGCTATATAAGTCAAATTTACTAACTTACTAGATGAAAGAATAGAAAGCCGCACTGAGCCTTAATTAGCTCTCACCACTAGTTCTAGCAGAAACTCAGATGAATTCCACTCAAAACAATCAGTAGAACAAACAGAACAAATGAATGCACAAAGATCTTTGTGGTGTTTTTTAGGAATCATTTATTGCCAGTAGGAAAGCGTGAGCTTGTGGCAGTATTTGATAAAAACCTTAACAAGACCATAGCACTGATCCGACGCGCACAGACACATGAAAACGTCCCGTGTCTATGAAGAACTCGGCACTATAAATATTCTGGGTCCCATTATCTTGGTGGAAAAATAAAGACGCTCCAAAGTCAAAATGTACAAACAAATAAAAACAAAACACGAGAATATGCAGTCGCTCTTTGAAGACCCACTTTGAAATGAGCAAGAGACAATAAACTTTTAACGAGTACATTGTGTTGAGAAAAGCCACGTGCCTCTCTTTATTATCATTTTCTTTTTCTTGGTGAATGAAAGCACGAGAATGCTGATAACACACCATCGGACTCATTTTTCATTGAAAATAAAAGCATAAAATATCTACAAAACCTAGTAAACTTTCAAACCAAAACTGTACACAGAAATTTACATCGAAAACAAGGATTTGTATAAAAACATTTTGCTTGGTTTTATTTTTTATAGAAACTAAATATTGGTATGATTTTATTTTTTGTCATGGTGCCGTTTTTCTGTCAATCCTTCAGGAAATCAAAGTCATTCAAAGGGGGACGCATTATGCTCCGTTTAAACTCGACTACTTCAGCTGTGTTTCTGTTTGAGTAGTTGTGCTTAATATTAAAAAATGCTACTTAAAAAAGAAAATTGGGTTTAAAGCCAAAGTTTGTGTTAACTGTTCAGCTTTTCTCTATTTGACATTCCAGCATTAAGTTTCTGACAGACAATAAAAGCATAATATGTCCCCTTTAACTCAACAGTAACACCAGATCGAAGGGTCAGGAGCTGAACTACGCTACAGAAGACCTCCCGTACCTCTCTTGACCGTGTGTGCACGTGTGTGTGTTTAGTGTTGGTGATGAGGGCTACCATAAGGTGTAGCTGCGGGTTCAGGCACTTTTGTTTGGATCCAGTGTCAGACTTCAGTGTGCTGCTGGGAGCTCAGCATCGGGATGTTCAGCTGTTCGTCACCACTCTCGTAGTCGCTTATCATCACCTCAGACTCCTCGCAGCAGGCTGACATGTCCGAGCAGGAGGCCGTGGATGTGTACAGGGACATGGACATGTTGTCCAGAGCCGAGGAGTCGAAGTCCCGAATGCAACCTAAAGCAAAGCCCCCCCGGTAAGCGCCGTTACCCATGGTGGAGGCAGGGGTGACTGTGGCAGAGGTGGAGGAGGTGCCCTGGCCCTCAGTGTCACCCCCGTCTCTCGGGTAGGAGTGATGCGGCAGGTACTGGTTAAGGCTGTAGAGCTGCGGCAAGGCCGGGCGCTGGTGTGCCGCCCCGGAGCTGGTCGAACCGGACTGGTCCAGGTCTCTGCTGAGAGACCGCAGCGTGTCGCTGTACTCAGGCAGAGGAGGCGGTGGTAAGTCGTCGTTGGTGGGGAAGTCCTCTGGCGGCGGAGGGAAGTCGCTTTCGATGTCAAAACCGCCTGGGTAATAGTCGGTGTCGATGGCGCTCTGGTCGCCGAACTGAGGGGCGGGAGGATCAATAACCTCGTAATGCGGAAACTCCTGGATTTCAGGAAGTTGAACACTTGGCATCCAATCAGATGTGTCCCAGTGATATCCTGTTGGACAAGCCGAAGCACACACACAGATTAGAGCTCTGCAGAAAGATCGGGTTATAACGGGTGCCAATCATCATCAAAGCATCATGCAGGGGTCACACAACATTACTTGTTTTATACAGTCGGGTAATCCTGAATCAGCAAGTTATGATCAGGAGAAGAGCTTCAGTGCCATAGCAGTAATTAGCTTGGGTTAGAAGTTTGTCACACATGAAGTGCATCTTTACAGATTTTTAGCCATGGGTTGAATAACGACCCTCCCAACCAGCTGAAGTCAGGCGATCCTTTTACACTTACTTAGACAGGAAATGACACACGAGTGTAGAGCAGCTACTGGTGACGAGTGCTTTTGTGTAAAACGCTTCATTGGTTGGAGGAGAAAGTGACAGAACATGGCAGGATTTGGAGTCTTATTTCCTGGCATTTGGATATCTGGCCTCCGATTGGCTAACAGCAACACAACTCTACCACTGACAACATTTGCTTTGCAATGTTGACGTTTTATCTCTTCATATAATTCAGGCCTGAAGGAGTTCTGCTGTGTGGTGGAGTTGCTAATGCTAACGGTTAGCTTTTACTAGCCGAGACGTTCTCTGACGTTTTCTAGATGCTAATCCAACAACGGTCTTCCATGTCGCAAATCAAGATGAGTGAGTCTGTGAATGTTGACAGTGGAACGTAGATCTCCTTCCCCAAATCCACACCGGAGGCATCAGCGGTGCGGAATGGCAGCGGACTATCGCTGCCTTAAATACAAACCAGCACAGTCCATGGGGTTGATCCAAATCGTCCGCAGCGTGGAACATTTCAGGCGCATCCTACAAGCCGTGCATCACGCTGCTGAAGATAGGATCAGGTTCTGTTTTTGCCACGAGCTGCTTCTGGGACACCTCAATTTCCAGCATAGAGCTACCAGACAGGAAATAACACGATTTCAGGGTAAAATGTTTGGCAAATTTCTAAATAAGTCTATTGCAGTGATGCGATTTCTTATCTATATAGATTACATTAACACATGTGACCTCATTTACTCCCAGTATCTTTCAAGAAGAGCCATGGCGTGTTTTTATGGCTTTACTCCTGGCAGTGGAAAGGAACATTACATTTGACATCAAACATGATCTTCTTCTTCCTGATAGTAGATGGCGTAAACAAACTGACTTTTGAAGTCTCAAGGAATTTTGTGATGTCCCACGTCCAGCAAGGAAGATGGCGGCGAAGCTGAGACACTCCCCCGGTGTGGCGCCGAGGCCTCCAGTGTGGATTTGGGGTCAGGCTTTTTAAATCCTAGTGTTTCACGGTTTGTTTTCTCTCACATGCTAATGCAGGAGTTAGGTGGAGAGGACTACAGCCTGCATGAAACACTCAGTGATTGATTATAATTAGAAATAATAACTAAAAAAATGGTTTTGTATGAAGTTGACCTTTAAAAATTGGGCTCTACTTCTTCCATCGTTGAGAACCCGCGCGACGACAGATAACGACGCTGCACGTGTCCGCACCTCCACAGACTGAGAATAAACATGTTATTTAAAACCACTTTTGATTAAATCTTTAGTTTGTTCATTTGATTAATGACCTTGGATGTATTTAATGATATTTATTTGTGTTTAGTCTTTTGATTTTCATGTGATTTTCTCTGTGAAGCACTTTTGTGATGTGTGCTAATTAAACTTTGCTTGCAGTTTGTTGTTTTTCTCTAAAACCGCACGTCGCACAGACAAGCGTGCTGCCTTTGGTTTAACTAAACAGTGGCTGGGAGAAAACACAGCTTCATAATCAGAGACCGTCACAAGAGCTGTTTAAAACTTGTCATCGTCACAAACGCAAAACGAGAAAAAACCTGTTATTTATCAAATAACTTCCATCACACACGGTTAGGCCACTGCAGATTTTAAACCATGCAAAGACGTTTGTTTAGGGACCTTACAGACACAGAACCCGGCAGCGTCGCAGCCTTTCAGAGTTAGTGGTTACAAGTTAGGAGGACGGGGATTGGGACTGGGGGCTACACCTGTGACCAACAGACAAAATAAAGATATAAAAAGTCACCTCTTGGGTTCTTGAGATCATGAGCCATAAAAGACTCTTTACGCGAGGCAAGATGGAGGAGACAGAGAGAGAAAGAACAAGTCACATTAACAGTCTAAGAGAATAAACAATCATGACGCTGATCAGGGCAATGGGACACGTACGGAAGACGGGTTCATTAATAACAGCTTTGCCATTTTCTTAAACAGACGTCAGCTGGTGTCTGATCAGAAGTTGGAAACAATCAGGGGCTCGAAGGCAGCAGGAAAAAGCTGCTTTTTTACTCTGAACTTTTACTTTCTGATCAGCTGAGTCTAAAGAGGTCAGAGCTGGGTGGTGGTGTTTAAGATAATGGCAGCATTACGGCCTACACTTGACATCCACACAACATGAGCAGCAGACAGAAGCTGGAAGAGTACCTTCTCCCTCCACCGTGTCAACAACAGAGGTGACAAAGTGGATTACTGTCACAACGGAGGCTTGTGAGAGATAGAGGAGGGGATGGAGGTCAGAGAGATCCAGCATTAGTCAAAAAGGTCTTGTAGAAAAAAGAATAACAGGAAATGTGGTGGGAGTGATGGAAACATGGGCCCACACATCTCACTGATCGTGTTCAGACGCCCACGCGTTAGGTTTAATGGCTGAGGACAAGATTGTGTGTGTGTGTGTGTGTGTTCTGAGGAGATGAAGGGGGCTCTGCTTTTGCTTGTGCAGGATAACACAACACAACAACATACGGAGGAGCTGTAGGGCGCCACTGACGGCACAGATGGAAGAATCGGTGAAATTCCCCAGAGACGCGACATTCCCACACACGAAGAAGTGCGTGCGTGTTTTCCAATAACAGAGAAGAGGCTTCAGTCTAGTTTTTAAATCTGGACTTCAGATAAAGGTTTTGATGACGGGACTATCAGAAGGATGGGAGAAATAAAAGGCAGGATGTAAATGAAGCATCTATACCTTTGTGTGATGCTCTTTGATGTTTGCGTTAAACATCCATTTGTAGCTATAGTTTGAGAAAAAGAGCAGAAAAAGGAAAGCACAGCACGTTTTAAATAAAAACAAAGCAAACGATGATGTGGGTGATTTTCTGAGACGGTCATCAAACTCCTTTTGAAGCAGAACTCGTATAAACTTGAAAGCCAGAACAAAGAGTGGCCTTGGAAATGTTTTCTTTTCATTTTGGAATCAACATTCCCAGGAGAATTACAGTGTACAGGTGGTTGTGATTGCTTCCGTCTGCATCGACAGTGACTGAGGACTTACAGGCTGGACCCCCCCCCAACTTAAAACCTTGTTCTGGATCTGTGGACTGATTTGATCCATATGGGAGCTGAAGCCCCGCAGCGAAGAGAAAAAAAAAGAGAAGACACGTGACCCCCACAGCCACAAATAAGGCCATCCAAACTGCACAGATTCAGAGAGTTAGCATTTAAATAAACCAGTAAAAATAAACCAGTTCAGTCAGATTAGTTCCTCTTGAAACCACCCAAAGGACCTGACTGAAGGCGTACCATTATCGTCACATGACTCTGACTGGAAGGAGCTGAGGGAGTGGACCTCGGACATGCTGCCCCTGGTGTTGTAGGGATGGCCGGCGCTTTCCTCCACTGGCTTCTTGTTCAGGCACGGCTCCAGGTCCACCACTTTGGCTGGTAACAAAAGCACAGCTGGGTGTCAAGATGGAAATCAACCAAATACATTCAGATTAAAAATAAAAATTTCTCCTGCCTCTTCTTGTTAGGGGATGCATTTTTCCTTGTTTAATCCGCTAATAATGTGTGTCTAGCTAGCTGAATGCTAATCACAGCATCACAGGTGAGGTGAGTTCAGAATATAAAGTAATAAACTCGTCCTCACTACAAGTCAGACGGTTTCACACTCCCGCCCCAGGTACATTCAAACGTGCAGCGCCTGTTTTTTGCACCACATATCTGCTTCTTCGATGTTACTGCTGCAGATATGCCTACTTAGATGAGAGCAACTAGCATGCTTGTGTCTTATTGCAGTTATCCTCGCCACACCATCTCTGTCACACACAAAGAGGAGACAGAATGAAAGAAAAGACGATACAAGGAGAAAGTCTCACCAGATGTAAAGTAAAAGGATGCCTAAAGAGCAAGTCACCCCCTACCAGAGTCTTAGTACACACACACTTCCTGTGTGAAAACTACGCCAAGGGGAGGAGCTGCCTTACAGACTGAGGGAGCCGCATAGAGCCAGTGACACCACCCCCGCTGCCATGTGTAGAAATTTGTCGCTAACTAAAACAAACGCACACACTTTGCTCAGAAAGACAAACAGCAGCATCTTAGTCTGGAGGATTTCTTTTCCGCCTCCTTCACCAGAAGGGAACGTTTGGAGGGGGTGAGCCGTATTCTTTCATATCTGCTTGTGGGTTTCCCAGGCAACCGGTGCCGACCCAGCTGGAGGCGCAGACAAGACTCGGCTACAGTTATGGTTGAATTCTTGACTATCATTGGAATCACAAGAATCAGTTTTCAAATGATGGGAAATACTCGGATGTACACAGAACAAGAGTCGCAAAAAACAGGCAGATTTGAGTTTGCTATGTCACATCTATGAGACGAATTCATCGGCATAAAAGAAATGATCGGCTAAGGGCTTGGCCAATCCCCGATGGAAGAATAATTCATCCAATCGCTCAACCTTAGTGGGGATTTTCGTCACACGCACAAATAACCCATTTACATGTGGGACAACTGCACCCCCACAGCCGCAGACACGTACGTCTTTTAAAAACTAGAAGTTTGAAGAAATTTTTTTCTAAGGAACTTTGGAATTTGGCACAAATTATCCTTATATCTGTTTTATAGACAAGGTGATAAAAGAAAAATTCTCTAAATCAGTGATGAGGGAAATTATGATAAAACATCTATAAACAACAAACTCAAAGATTCTCCCACGTCTGAATCTCAGGTCATTTAATTACCAATAACTCGTTAAACTGTCTTGTATTTCCTAAATAAAACATTCACGTTGTCATCTTTAATATTTTTCCCTCCTGGCCAGCTGGCATTGCCGTTCCGGTCTTTAATGTGCCGCTTGATGCAGTTTCCCTAAAGAACAGCAGAGTTATGCAGCTTTAGCAGAGTCAGCTGGAAGCTAGTTGTGGGGCGCGTTTGAAATGCATCGCAGCGCGTCTGGTTGGAGCTCTGCTTAGGCTGGCCTCAATCTAATCAACCGGAGTGTAATTCATTAATCTCCAGACTCTGTCCCATTACATCGACTTACGGGGTGTAAATATGTTTTATGGCCCAGCAGAAATGAGATCCCATACATTTACCAGGCTGAGATGGGTTGTGTGTTTTCATTCTACCAGTGGAAAGGAAAAATAATTGAAGATTCATTTTAAAATACATTTTTTCACCGTTTCTTTGTTTTTGTGGAAGGCTAATGGTCCATTTGCTGGAGATTCCGCTACAAGTTTCCATCTTAAAGTTCACAAACAGAATCATTTCATATTCGGACTAAATCTGTGCCGAGTGCTGCCTCTAAAATCTAGAGCAGGGGTGCCCAATCCTGGTGCTGGAGGGCCGGTATCCAGCAGGTTTGTGCTTTTTCTGCTCCAACACACTTGATTCAGTAGTTGAATCACCTGCAGCAGCTCATCAGGGTCTGCAGAAGCCCGTTAATCACCTGCTGATTGAAATCAGGTGTTTTGAAGCAGAGGTCAAACTAAAACACTCTGGGAACCGGACATCCAGGACCAGAATTGGGCACCCCTGCTCTAGAGGGTGCTTCTTAAAAGTAAAAGGCGTCTGAGATTCCGGGTTAAGGTGGACTTACTGTCGTAGTCGTAGTCCCAGTTTGGTTTCTGGATGGAGTCGCTGTCGGACACGGAGTTGGATGGTGGAGGAGGGGGAAGGTTGGGCGCCACGCTGCACACCGCCACTGTCTTACGGTGTCCGTGCACAGAATCTGGGTTGAAGGTAGTAAACTCTGGGTGCTCTGGGATGGTTGACCCCTCGAACGAGTTTCTGTCCAAGTTGTTCCGCGAGTCGCTCGGGATGCTGGGAGTATAGGAGATGGGTCGCACCGGCACCTGAGGAGGGATGTCTGAATAGATGTTTTTGTTGAGTTTGGAGTCAAAGTAAGGTCTCTGGAGAAAGGAATGGGGCACACCCGAGCTTCCCGCGTGTTTGTCATCGTCATCGGTCTTCGACCTGCTGCGGCAGGCTCTCTTACGAATAAGGATGAAAAGGAGGACGAGTATGAAGATGCTGGACAAGAAGACCACAATGCCGACCACCTCCTCCAAGCCAATGTTCCATGAGGTGGAGACAAATTCGTTGGGAACCTCGACAGGGAACTCGCACACGTGCCCCCTGAAACCCAGAGAGCAGTTACACTTGAACGAGCCGTACGTGTTCTGGCAGTTGCCCCCGTTGGAGCAGGGGTTCTTGATGCACTCGTCGACGTCGCTCAGACACCTGCACACAGTAAGGACACTCAGGGGTCTGCTGCAGCAAAGAGGATGTAAATAAAATGGCAGGTGTTAAAAACAGACGGACAAACCTGTCGCCCTGGAAACCCGCCTCACACTCACACACTGGGCCGTCCAGGCTGTCAATGCACTTCCCGCTGTTTTTACAGGGGTTGTCTCTGCAGTACGGACCTAACTGGCACCTGCATTCAGAAAGAACATACTTGGTCCTACGCCTGAAAGGAAACAGAACATGTCTATAAGGAGATACTGCTGAGGGCGGATACCTTTGTCCTGAGTACTGGCCTCTGCACTGGCAGTAGAAGTCGTCAGCACGAGGAACACAGGTGCCACCGTACAGGCAGGGGTTGGAGGCACAAGGACTTAAGGTGACATCACAGTGTGTGCCCATGAACGAGGCAGGACACTTGCAGAAGTAGCCTGAAGAGTTCCCACAGAAAAAGGACGATGAGCAGAGCTGACTTGTTTTTTCAACCCATCTGCAGTGGTCGCTAGTATAAATGAATGCCCTGTGGGTCGATCTCTGTTGGACAGAAGCTCTGGCGCTCCTGTTTCAGGAACTATAAGCCACCGCAGCGGTGAAGTGAAGACGGCAGGATCTGGGGTCTTTACCACTGACTGTTTGCTCTGCAACGTTGATGTTTCATCTCCACAAATTACACAAGCCATAAGGAGTTCTTCTATGTTGTGAAGTTGCTAATGCTAACAGTTAGCTTCTGCTAGCCAACTCTGCTCTCTCCTGGACACTAAATCAACACCAGCTTTCCCCGTCACGAGCCAAGACAGGTGAACCCACAGATGCAGTCTTGACATTATGATATTTTGACGGGCGTTTCTAATGTGAGCATCTCCCCGTCTGTTGTCTACCGGCAGCTGTTACAGGAAACAGGTAGATGAATAATTATTAATATTATTATTATTATTAATAATATTAATAAACATTCATGTTTAGTCTGCATGTTAAACTCAGAGTGACCTTGTCTTTAATCATCACTAGGAATGTAAGCAAACATCCGCACTGGAATACTGAGATATTTTACATTATGATACTGTACTTGTATTTAAAAGAAGGTTATTGTTATTTTACTGAGAATTTAAATGCTCACATTTATTATATTATTTCTGAAACAATTCAAACTCTAGGTGGCAGCAGTTTTCACCATCTTCATTCTGATGGAACAGATCTCTTGATAAGGCTGGATGTGTCTTGGGAGAGTCTGGCCTGAATTTCCTAACTCAGTTCAGCCTTAAAAACCACAAATATCCTCAGGTTTTCACTATCGTGACACATCGTATCACCAGACACGCCAAGACACGCCCCTAATCAGAATGCTAATAATTTATATAGGAAGTTTGGCATTAGAATTACAAAATATTTGCAAAAAGCTGCTAGTGAAGGAAAGTAATAGTGCCTTAGTAGTACTGTTGGTGGGTCTAATATAAAATTAATTCAGAGATGTATTTGTTTTTTAAACCGATCTCTAGTGAAACTGCACTAAATGTTGTTGCATTATAAAAAACAAAAGGTGTACATTAGACGCCCTCTTCTATTTAAAATGCATGAAATCTTTGGGCAAAAGGAACGTGTGATGAGTGAAGAAGGCTCACCTCCATTAGGCAGCGAAGTGCAGCTTCCTCCGTTGGTGCAGGGGTTGCTGGAGCAACTCTCAGCAGGTGGGAGGGCACAGCCTGGAGCCACGTCCACAATGTCTTCCAGCACGGCGTGGGCTCGCCGGGCTCTGGTGTTGAGAGGCAGCTCCTGACCGTTCAGCGCGACGGCCTCCATGCAGCCTCGAAACCCGTTAGAGATGGGCAGACTGCGCCCAAGGCGGGGGGAGCTGTGCTGACGGAAATAGCCGCCAAAGTACATGGTGTTGTCCAGGTTGAGTGTGCGCAGAGTGCCGGGGGCAGTGCCGGAGGCGGCGTGCACGCGGTCCAGCACCAGTTTAGCGTAGTTACCATCCACTTCCAGGGAAACGGAGTGCCATTCGCCATCGTTGACCTGAGCGCTGTGAACGGACACCAGGCCCGGCCCACTGCCGCAGTCGAATTTATACTGCAGACGACCGTTCACGACCTGCATCAAAACAAGCGCTTCAGTCAGAACAGAGAAAATCTGATTTTCTGATCATAATCAGACTTCATTAGTATTACTCGTGCTGACTGATTTAATCAGTCACAAATTAGACTTTGACAGTCCTTCAGTCAACAACAAGCATTTCTTCTAATTTCACAAAAATTCACATTTGTCAGAAAAACATCAATATTCCAGCGTATTTTTAACCATTAACACAACGACTGCAGATTTATATGGCAGTTACTAATCACCGACGCTTCTCTGGTGCAGTCACGGTTTGAGCCTGGCATGCAGACGGCTTCGCCAGACCGACTCAAAAAGGAATGCTGTCCATTTCCCCACCACTAAAACAACTGGTGCTGTTGTTTTTCTCTCAGCTCACCACCACATTCCCATCGCCCCTCGTGTGTGTGTGTGTGTGTGTGTGTGTGTGTGTGTGTGTGGGTTGGGGAGAGGGTGGGGGTGGGGGTGGGGGGGCACAGTGTAGAATTATCAAAGAGGTTAAATGAAACAACTTTGCTTGTGAATTTCTCTTTTTACATGCTGAGAATCAGCTGTTTGTGTCATGACAGCTCCGGCTCTAAGTGACATCACACATGGGACCGCCCCTTTCACCATGATGGATGGCAGAAAACTGTTAATGCACATTGAAATTCCTGTGAAGCTGGTCAGAACAAGCCAGCTTGTAGCCTTAGGCGGATCATAAAAGACCATTTTACATTAAGGGTCCCTTTTATTAACGTTAATTAGTGTGTTATTAAGCATTAATAAACAAAGGAACTCTTTATCGACAATCCCAGTATTGTTTACTATTAGGTGTCCTTAAGGTTAGGACAAAGGGCCAGGAGGGTGTCTGCTTATGCATTACATAATATGGTTATGCAGTTGTTAATACATTAATAAATAGTTTATTACTGCCTAATAATGCACTAAGTAACATTAGTAAAGGGACCTTTATTGTAAAGTGTTACCAAGGTCGTTCCTTCTAAGCAGCACACACCTCGAGGATGCTGTAGTCAGTCCCTTTAGCGTACATGACCGTAGCGTGGCTGGAGAAGGTCCTGAGCCTCAGAGACAGTTTCATCAGCTCCTTGTTCTCGTTCTCCATCAGACGATACTTCACATAACCGCTTCCGCTGAAAGTCAGCGAGTGGCCATCTGACACGGTGAAACAGGTGGGAATACGGGTTACAGAGGACACGAGTCTGATTGAGTAAAAACACAGGAGATGGCTTCTTACCAGAGCACTTGCTCTTTTTGCCCTCAGGACACACACAGCTGTACACGGTGTCTCTGGGATCGGCCACGCAGTCCATGCCCTCTGGACACAGGTTGTTTTCACACACGTTGTTCAACACAGGGCATTTACCACCTGCGAGCCAAAAAACATGTATGAAGAAGGAAACGTCTGACAGGAACAAGTGTGTGTGTGTGTGTGTGTGAGAGGTTTGACTGGAGTACCTTCACACTGGCAGGTGGCAGCTCTCTGGTGTCGCGGGGTGACAAAGCTGAGGCGAGCTGTGCTGTAGGTGGACATGGTGCTTTTATCCAGCGAGATGACCTCATCACAGAAGTGCAGCGGGCAGTCCAGACCTGCACACAGCTTCTGAACCACACGCACGATACGAACCCCCGTCATCTCCTCGATCACACTGGCAGACGAGTTCAGCTTACGGAAGACAACCTGGACATAAACCAGAAGACAATAACTCAGGAAGTAAAAGCCGCCTTAATTATTTGACCTGAAAGGCAACAACGTGTTTATTTTAAGCGTCTAATTATTGATTCAATGATTCTTCTCACACTGAGACACAAGTAAACACTGGCTGCTTTTGTCCAGATTTGTTTCTCTTGTCTGGTCTCACCTCCTGGGACTGATACGGACTTCCAGATCTCTCCAGAGTCAGCAGGACATCCAGATCCCCCTGCTCTGAAGGTTGTAGGCTCACCAACTGAACTTCACTCCTCCGGACCCCCGCGATGTTTCTCAGCGCTCGCTGGAAGTTCCGCCAGTAGTCTCCGATAAATTCCTCAGGAGCAATGTTAGCAAATCGCACAGCGACGGAGTTATCCAGGGCCTGGCGCGCCGCTTGGCGCATGTGCACGTTAACGTCAGCGGGCGTTGTGAAGCGTCCGTCGCTCACGGTCACGTTGAGCGAGTAGTGGCCCACGTCGAGCGGCCGCAGGGCGATCACTTTCCCATCGGAGGCTGAAACTGAAAACAAGTCACCGCCCGGGTCCATGGGTGAGGATGAAGAAGGGGCGAGGCTGTAGGTGAGGGTGTCGTAGACGTCTTGGTCAGTGGCGTGGATTTTGCCTAAAACACCCCCAGGATACTCATCCCCAGCGATGGAGACAAAAATGTCCAGCGGGAGAACGGCGGGAGGGTAGACGCTCTCTTCGATCACACGCACGCTGATGAAGGTAGTGGAGGAGAGCTGAGGTTTGCCGCTGTCACACACCTGGATGACAGAGAGGAGAACATTTCATCTCGCTTGTCAGCAGCAGAGGGCAGTCTCGCAGCACTCCAGAGTTGTGCAGCATCCACACAGCGGAGAGAAACACACAACAACAAAACGTCCACATGATCAAACATCTCAACAAGCACCCTCACAGGAATGGGCTTCAGTTCAGCAGGAAAAACAACAAATCTGAGTGTGAATCTCTTGTGCAGAGCGACATCACACGTCCCTCCTGCCCACACGTTTCCCTCTCCGCTCCTACCACCGAGGTGACACGTGATCAAGCCAAATCAAAACCAGTGTGTGTAATTTAATCTGTATGATGCTCTCTAAAGCAGACGCGTTACTGTACGCCCACTTTAGCTCCACGTCTCATGTGGAGAAGCTCACAAGCTGCGTTTAAAGAGAACTTCAGGACGCTTTAGAGGACGGAGATCCTTAAAGAAATGAGAAAGAGGAAGAGGGACGGCAAGCAGCAGACAGCTGTGGCTTGACAGTTAAATCAATGCAACCTCTTGATTCTGGTCTGCTCCTGCTTCTGTGACTCACCTGTGCTTGAAGCAGGTACAGCTCTTTGTGTTTCCTGTTCAGCACCCCCACAGTCAGAAGAGCTCCATGCTGGTTGATGTGGAAGGCATCGTCCCCGTTCCCGTCCACGATGGTGAAGGTGAAAGGTGGGCCATTGTGAGAAGCATCTCGATCGCTTACTGTGAGCTGAAGAACGCTCGTTTCTTTGGGTCGATTCTCCTGTAGGAGGCAGGAGAAGGTAAGTGGGCCTATTAGCCCTCCTTTAGGTTTGGTTCTCTGTTACAAATATGCACTAACAGAGCCTCGCTGCAAGGATGACCCTCTGAAACAGATCTGCTCTAAAAGGTAAAACTCACATCTACTTTCTGGAGGAAGTACATTAGACTGACTTTGGTCTGAACCCTAACAGATCTTCTAGAAATCATGCAAAGGGGACATATTATGATAATTGATTAAATGGTGTTGTTGTCTACTTTCTTTGCACTAAATCCCTCTCACCAGTTTTATTCCAGACAGTTTCAGTACCTTCCAGAATGAGGCGTTTACTGCTCTCTCACATTAAGCAAACAAGCTGGAGCCGATCATGCCCGCCCATCCCCACCTCAAGCTGCTATAAGCTGAGAAGCTCAGATATCCAGGAGCAGCTCTCTCTCGCACTTGATACGTGGTTCTAATTTCCCCCGTTTGTGACATCACAAACGGGATCTTTTTGAAAGGGCTTGTTTTAGGCACATAATTCTTGAAACCAAACACTGACAGAAAATAGATCCGTAGTTTTTTTTCATGCTTGGAGTGTTTCTAAAGGCAGTAGAGACCCACATGGCACCACAAAAGAATGCAAGTGTGAGCTTTTTATAATGTGTCCCCTTTAAAGTGTTCAACCTGAAATGCCACAAAGCTAGCAATCATCTTATTCTTTCAGCTAGCATCAAAACTACCATTGTAATTACTGACTTTGAGTAAAAGAGCTTATAGAATGGAAAGACTTGGACTAACTCTTTAGACTCTGATAAAAACACAAACAAGACAAATTTATTGCCAGATTTTTTTTAACAAATATTATTTTTTTTAAATAATTTTCACACGTTATTCCAAGACCAAAGCCATGTCACTCATCCATCCATCCATTAGTCCAACTCCTTTTTAACTGTGATCATTTCTAATAACCTTTACAAGTTTAACGAATCAGCCAAAAACAAAGATGGCTGCTACTCCCGCCGCTGGTATTTACCCTCATGTTCTCACTGAACTGATCTTTGTGTGTTTGTGCTTGAATGTGACTCAGATCTTACGTTCTGTTGAATCTCGTTTTCTTCTCAAGAGTAAAAATAACCCGCCTATTGATCTTCCTGAGGGTGTGTGCAGTACGTGTCAGCTGTGTCTCCTTGCTTTGATTTAAGGAGGATTTGGTGTTGTACTTTGATCAAGCCTTGATGGTGAATCTATACAACCAGTAAGGATGCACTTCAGCTGGTTGTAATATATCTTGATCACATTTAATATAAAGTCATCAAATTAAAAAACATGAAGCCAAAGTTAAATTATTTCATTGACGGATCGAATCTAAAGTGATGACATTTAAACCGGGATTTAGGCCTCAGCATTTAGAAATGGTCCTGCCACTCAAGCAGCGCATCGCCCCTCCACCCGAGACAAGGACGTGATAAATACTTCTAAACCCAAGGTTGTTACACATCCTCCTTCTCTTTTGATGTGTGATTTTTCCCGAAGACTTCATGGTCTCAATCACTAACTTCACGTCTTCATTAATAGGGAGTGCTGACGAGGGCAGGACGCTGAAGCAGCTGAGTTGTGCTTACTATCAGCTACAGCAGCTGCCGTCAGGTCCATCGCTTTATTTGAACTCCTGGTTTCAGCGGAGGAAACAGAATCTTTCAAGCTTACGGGTGATGCACAGCGACCTCTGTTTGGTCAGCATCTTCTCCGCTATCCTTTTAGGTGTATCACATTTTATTTTCAGTCATTTATCATTTTTCATGTTGGTGCCATGCAGACTCAACTCTCCATCTATCCTGTTAGGTATTTCCCTGATCTACATCTGCACCCTCTCTCTTTCCCCTCCTCTTCTCCTACCTTTGTTCCTGCTTCATCCTTGCTCCTTGATATTCTAGTCTCACAGCCTTCCATTATTCCTCACTGTTAATCCCTCTCTGTGTCTGCGTCAATCCCTCCTGCACCCCCATCTCTTTCTTCCTCTCCATCTATCTTATTCTCTCTAATCAGCTATCTTCGCCAGCCGCCCCTCCTCCCTCCTCACCTGGATGATGAGGCTGTAGTTGGCCTGGGAGAAAAGAGGCGGGTTATCGTTGACATCTGAGATGTCGATGTTGATGGCAGCGCTGCTGGAGAAGGGAGGTGTCCCGTTGTCCGAGGCGACCACCACCAGGGTGTAGCCAGACATCTGAAGAAGAGCCCAAATCACCAAACATCAGCAAAGACCAGCAATGAAGCAGTGATCACTAAACAAGCCTCCTTATTAGGTCTGACATGAGTTTGATTGGATTTTGCAGAAACTGCAACTAGTTTATCTCTGGATGAAAGTGAACGAGGACAGTCGGCGTTATCTCTCTCTTACTCGCTCCCGGTCCAGCTGCCGAGCGACTTTGAGTTCCCCTCTGACAGGGTCGAGGGTGAAGGGGCTGCCTTGGTTACCGTCCACGATGGAGTAGTGGATGTGATTGTTGGAGGGCCCGTCAGCATCCTCGGCCATCACCTTTGGAAAAAAGGAAAGCAGAATTTATCAGTCATTAAGCAGCAGGGCAGCTTTGTTTCTGCGTGTTGAAAGAAATCCACTTCCTTCATGATCTGCTGGAAGCTACAGAGGTGCCTAAATATCAGCCAAAAGTATAAGAAATCTGTTTTTTCACACCTTTTATTTTCTGTTTTATTGATTCAGAAGCTGTGTGAGCTATTTGAAGCAGCCGGATAAACCCATTTCTGCCCTTGGGCCAGTGCACATTTCAAAATATCTAAACTGAAATCTGATTTTTAACACAAACCCACATCTGCACCTGCAGGTCACCTGAGAATTTAGCTGCCAATCAGTGTAATATTACTGCAACGGTCTAATTCATGTGCCATGCTGGCGTGGCAATGCACGACATTAGCAGCATTCGTTTCACCTCGCTTGGTACTAATATACCGATAACTGACTTTTAAATGCCGATTGCACCTTGGCGCAGCAGAGGGAGGAATCACGATCACGTGGGGAGTTCCTGCTGAGCTTCGGCTGCCAACTATGTTGAAACTGAAAGTAAACGCGGGCTTTTGTAAACAGAACCAGCTGAAACGGTAAACTGGAACGATGCAGAGCCTGAGAGCGTCTCTGTTACAGCTGAAGCTCAGATCACCAGAAAGTGCACGGGGACTGTGGGGGACAGACACCTTTAGGAGCGGTGTGTTAAAAAACTTAGAAAACAAGTTATGTCCAAGTTAAATGAAAGTCCTCGGCACATTGACGGCATTGTTTTGTAAAAACGGCTTCTGCAATAAAATAGTAAAAAACACTTCTTTAACTCAAAGTAACTCGAGATTTGATCATTTTACCTTCAACTCTACTCTTATTTGTATATGCTTTAGAGACAAGTTGATCAAATCATCAAAAAATATCATATCTGTTTCATCAACAGTGACAGTACTTGTGGGTTGTATCATTTCCACCATCCTAGCACACAAACAGGCACACACACCATCTTCAGGGCCAATAACTGTCAGATACTGACAGAAACCTCTGGGGAAATTAGGAGACAGTGAGGATTTACAGGTATGAAACAACAGCGAGCACTAAAATCTAATTTTCTGATGGATCATTTAAAATCAGATAGCTCAGATTCACAGCTAAATGGAGACATTTGTCTCCTGAGAGGAGAAGAGAGAAGAGGTAGTAAAAATGAGATGCTCAGGTGGTTGGAAATCCTTAGCCTAGATAAGAGGCTCAATGGGTCTAAGGGTATTTAATTATTCTGTTTGTGCATGTGTGTCAGGTTCTGCGCGGGAAACAGGGCCGCAGTGAGCATGAAGAGCATTTAGCTTCTCCACCAGATGGTGGTTTGCCACAGCTGCAGACATGTGATAGAGTGTTCAGTGGATAATGGGAAGGAGGGAGACGGGTCGAGAGCAGGGGAATGGAGGTGGATGAGCAGATGGAATCGGCTTCATGGAAATAAAGAAAGATGGGAAAAGCAGAGATGTGAAACCTTTCATATGGTTTTAGAGTCATTCTGGTTATTTCACCGTAACAAACATCTGCTGTGTAGTATACATAAACATGTCCCTGGAGACGGCATCCTCACCGCTAACACCGTCTTCCCCAGCTCCACGTCCTCACTGATGACCGTCGTGTAGACGTCCTGGCTGAAGACCGGCCGGTTGTCGTTGACGTCGGTTAGGTTGATGTTCACCGTGGCAATGTCGCTGAGCGGAGGGGAACCACCGTCTGTAGCCTCTACGGTGATGTAGTATTCATGAGAGAGCTCGTAGTCCAAGCCTTCAATCACAAAGATGTCACCTGAGAGCAAAGACAAGGAGAGAGGAGGGGTTAGCACCCCGCTACCACAGTCCACTTTAGCCCTGAGATTCCCCCTTGTTGTACAAAACAATTCATGTACCTCTACAGAGCAAATACACCTGTCTTCAGTCTAATAGTTTAGCTTAACAAGGAGGACCAGCTGGCTGGTTCATTAGCACAATATTGTTAAGTTTAACAACAACGAGCATTCTGAGTCGACTGAAAGCAAGAATAGATGAGGAAAGAACCTCGTTGTTGCAACATTGAACCCACATCCTTTAGTCGGTGTGATGTGCTTGTTGCGATTCAGCTGGAAAGAATGATGCTACATCTTCTGCTAATCTGGTTCCAGGTCAAGGGATCGGGAAGCCCATACTATCCTCTCCCCAGCCGCTTTCACCAGACCCTCTGGTGGTATTCCAAACTGTTCCCAGACCAGCCAAAATCTAATCCCTCGGCCTGGATTCATCCATCAATCTCCCACTCCATCTTTCTTCCACTTGTGAACATGACTCACTTAAGCTCCTCTAATTGAAGCGGGACCATGCCCCAGACCCTGAGCAGGTAATCCACCTCATGTGTATCAGTTATAAACTGTTGTAGGTATGGGCCAAGACTTATGATAACTGAAAGATGTAGGAGAATATAGATACACTGAAATATCGCAATATTTTATGTTGTGAAACTGAATCGATATTTAAAAGCAGTGTATTGACATTTAGTAAAAATTTACATCTAGACATGTACTGTAATTCTTTTATGGGGTTCAATAAAAAATTTGAATGCCTTGTTTCTGAAAGAAGGAGATCTAGCGATAACACCGGACGTGTCTAACCTGAGTTTTCTAATTAACTTCAGTCTTAAAAGTTGCACAAATCATCAGGCTTTAAAAATCACAATAAAACGCATCTTCTTCTCTGTACTGTGATTTATTTCGTATCGTGATCCACATTAAGCGATTTATATTGTATCGTCTCCCCTGTCTTGTGATACATATCGTATCGTCTCCCTATGTTGCGATGTATATCGTATCGTCTCCCCGTTTTGTGGTATGTTGGCAGATTCTTGCCAATGCACAGTACACCACTTATGGTAATCATTGTCTTTACTTATTAGTTGTCAATTCTAAAAAGGCTAGAACGTTTCTCAACAATTAGAATAAGTAATGTACCTATTTAGCCTTAAAAATATCAGGTGGTAAATATATCCGTTTCTGTTGCCACCCTGAAGTAGAGGACATTGAGGACTCGTTCTGATCCTACAAACTGCAGCATTTAGTTGGTTTCAGTTTTCAGCTTTGAATTAAGACATAAAACCGGGCCTTTATCATTTTCTCACTTTGCATTACACTTAATGAGCAGGAAAATTAAAACTAAGTCAAACACCACATTTGTAAATCTTACATAGCTCAGCTTTGTGAGTTTAATTAGCAAATGTTTTAATTGGTACATATCTGCCCTTCAATCGGTGTTTCAAGTTGGAAATTGTCTTCCGGCTCTTGGAAAGTACAGACGCTTTTTTTCTCCCTCCTCTCTATCTTATCCCAAGGCTCTTTGTCTGTCGTTGGGTGTACGGTGCTTCTGCATTTTTCTGGAAACTGGAAATTATTAGAAATGGACCTGGTCAGTTGGTCTCTAAGCGCCATTGACAAGATTTTTTCAACGATGAGAACGGGAGAAGGGGCTCCTGGATGCCCCTCTGGGACAGAGCCAGCCGGGTATATCATAGACTCCTGGAAACAGTGGAAGCTGATCTGCCTGTCTCAACTGTCTGTAGAGGATTCTGAAGACGTCTGGATATTTGTTATGTTGGTGTCTGGATTCCAGCTTTTTGGCCTGAGCCGTTACCTGGCTTACTGGAAAATTAATGAGCTGTCGAGGAATATTGGCTCAATCCTGGAGCTCAGGGATGGATTACACCGCACTGTGAACACACAGACTCATATAATTGTCGAGATGAGTCGTAAGCTTGGAACTTTGGCTGAGATTCAGGCTCTGGCACAGAAGGTGGATTCGATCAAGGAGCGAGTTGACGTATCAGCACGGATTGGGATAGATTAATTACACCATTATTGGATCTAGAGAGGTTGAGGACCAACGGAACTTTAAGGCAGAGAGGAAATTATCTCTGTCTGGCCCAAAACAAGTTCTTATCTGAATCTGGTGCCCTTGAGCCTGTGAGGCTGAAGTGATTACTCCCCCTCAGAAGAAATGTGGAATGCTGCCGTCACCATGGCAACTCTGTCTCCCTATCCCAGTCTGGGTGGGACTGAGACCGGTGAAGGCCGTTGAATCGTTCATGGAGTCACTGTGCTCTCTAAACCCAACTACCTCCCTCCCCTTTCCAAACAGAGGTGACGAGCGCTGCTCATTGCGGCTGCATGCACTGATGTGAGGAGAGTCTCTAACCCTACCTCCCCACCTAGTGGACACTTAGGTTGTGTGATGTCTGAAGTCTGTTGCATTTCTGTCTGAGGTGTTTTTTGCGTAGCAAAGCTGCCCTCCCTGTGGAGGGTAACTCTGGCGTGCCTTTTTTCCCTCCACCTGACTCAATCCTCATATAAACCCCTCTGATCTCTATTAAGGTAGCGCGACTCGGGTTGCGAATGACCACAGTCACCAATTCTTGTCATGTGTCTATGACTATGTATGTATGTCTGATCTCAGAGCTGTGTGTACTGAAACTCTAATTTCCCTCTGGGATTAATAAAGTATCTTTGAATTTGAATTGAATTTGAAATAAATGTATTTTATTCTACAAATATAGAAAAGAAGCATCTCAATAACAAAATGATGCTATTTTTGTTAACTTAAATTTGAACTCCTTTTGTTATTTCATTATTTTATTCATAATTGGTTCATTTCCAGTAAGACAGTTTGGTAGTTTTCACTCATAAAGCAATCAAAAACATCAACCATCTGCTTTCACCTCAGCAGAGAGCCATATGTTAACATTGACACATACCGGTATGAGGCTCCACGCTGAACAAGCCGTGCTCATTCCCACTGATGATGCTGTATGATATCTCTCCGCCAGCGTCTGCGTCGCGGCTAGCCGCCAGCACCCTGAGCACCTGAGTCCCCACGGCCACATCCTCGGACAAGGTGGCTGAGTATTCACGGTGCTCAAACACCGGCGGGTTGTCGTTGATGTCCAGCACGGAGATGACCACTTGGCAGAGTGAGGACAGACGAGGAGAGCCCTGGTCACTGGCCCGAGCCTGCAGCTCGTACACCGACTGCACCTCTCGGTCCAGGGGACGTTCCAGGCTCAACACGCCGGTGTGCTCGGCGATGGAGAAGAATCCATCGGCTGAGTCAGCCAACGAGTACAGGATGTCGCTATTAAGACCTAGAATGACATTTAAAAACAGATAACTCATGGATGTTTTTATTACACTCTTGACAGCCGTTTGTCATATTCATGATGTGACAGCTTTCAGTTTACAGTTTGTTTGAGTGCCTGGTCTTCATCACCCCCACCCCCCACGTCTCAGCCAGCAAGCTGCGGAGAATGATAACACTGGTGGCAACATCAACAGAAATACCCTCTTTTCAAGCCTGGGGTTAAAAATATATAGAATACAGAATTTTATTTAAGTTTATTGATTTTTTAAACCTCTTTTCATTCCAGATTGCTCATGATTCACAGAACCTCTGATGAACGTCTGATCCACCTCTCCCTCATAACTCACATACTCCCACAAGCACGATGATCCACGAAATAAGACAAAGACGGATCACAACAATAATCATAAAGCTTTTCTGCAGGTGGTCCCCATTTGGAATATGCTATTACAGTCCCATTTATCAGGTGAGCGCCCTCCATCCTCTCTAGATCTCATTATCGCGCCGGAGAGATGACCGTGGGGAACACTGCTACAGTTTCTCATCACTTTCATTTGGTCTGAACATTAATAAGGCGATTGCTTAATGATGGTTTGGAGATTTGCATTGAATTATGACTGCCTATATTGCCTTATATGCTGGCTTTAATGATGCTTATCTCCATCCCTGGGCTGGCTGGAATGTTAAATGTGAAACAGAGCTGGAAACATTTAGTCAATTTAACTGTTACTTCAAGGACCAGAAAATAAATCGGCAGCAAAAGCCGTATTTCACTAAAGGAGTTACAGGGGCTTTCTGAGAGGGGGAAGGCCACAGGGAAAACACAACGGCTGAGAGTCTCCACATATAACCGACCTTCTCAGGACGTTGCTGAGACGTCAGCGTACCGCGACCGTTTCAGCAGTGAGTGATGTCACTGACCAGTGCAAAGACATCTATGGACATTAATGGCATAATATTCTATCAATGCACACAATGTCATTTAAATCCATCCTGAGGACCTAGAGAACAGCTTTGTGATGATTGTTTGTTTGGCTATGTCTGCCAATATCATTTCCTACTGAGCCACAACCAATCAGCACCAGTTAACCCAGTTTAGCTACTGGGTTGGGCCCTAAAGATGATCGCACATGCACGTCGGGAAAGTCTAGTAAAATTATCTGGAAGTTCTGATAATGGAAACAGGCCTAAAGCTTTATGATGAGGATTCTCAGGAATTAATGCCAGAATTATTTTTGTATAATCTAAATATTGCAGATGGTTAAATACCCAAGAGATTAGCTAAAGAGCTACAATAGTAACACTACTTTATTAGAATCTAGACAGACCGCTGAAGCAAAATGATGTTGCACTGCATGTGGGTCTAACCATGCTGCATCAGACCAGTACTGTGTCTTGCCAATCACAGCGCTCTGTCGGGTTAATGGGCCAATCACAGCGCTCTATTGGTTTGGTGGGCAGGATGATGCTACGGAGTGAAACAACTAAGATGGCAGCAGATCGTTTGCAACGGCTTTGGCGTCAACCTTGGACTATTTAGACTTAGGCTTTGAGTCAAGAGCAGACAGAGGTACTGAAAACCGTTATTTAGGAAAAGGATGAGTTTGCATCTTCTTCAACCATGGATGGGGGAGTGCCCTGTTGGCTGACATCTGTAGTGGTGCATCTGTCACATATTACAATAATACAAGTAAATCCTTTAAATGAAACTAAACATTAGCATGCTAAACTTATTATTTCATGAGCAAGTGGCCAAGCCTTTTTAAAAACATCTTTCTAAATGCTTTCTGTGACCATCCTGTGATGCACAGCATGACTTTGACAATGCAACAAAAAAGACAAGGCACAAATCGTCCAAATGCCTCCAAAACGGTGGAACTTTAGAAGCCAAATGAGGGAAAATAACATGGCAGAGCGGCGCCGGGGGGGGAGACAGAGATCCACTCCAATCCAGGTGGTGAGATAACGGGACAAAGCCAAATCAGAGAGGGGAATTTAGAAGTTTATCGTAGATCAAGGGCACTAGTCTGGGTCTGCGCCTCTGTCTGCTTCATAACCATTCCACGCTGATGAGTACTGCCTCTCATGGATCGTAACGGGAGGCTGAACTGGGGAGCTGCTATGTGGGTGAGGATCAGACACCGTGGAGGGATCACAGAGGCTGTGTGTCACAGCAACCGCAGCCAAAAATGCGAGTCCGCCCTAAAATATGCAGAGAATATGGAGGAGTAATGAAACCATCTTGGATGGAGGGTTGCATTAGTTTTTAAAATGTGATGGTTGGCTGCAAAGACCAAAGCCTGAAGTAACTGGGTCAAAGCTATGGCTTTTCACATTTTACTTGTGCATTTATGCCCAAACTGCTGTAATTCAAGCTTTAAACTGAAATAATACCAGACAAACAGAGAAGAAAAACATTTTTATGTGTGAAACAGAGATCACAGCCCTGTAAATGATAGCTGCTGCCTAAAAGCGGTAGGCTTGTCCTGCATATGTAAAAGTAAAAAGCCATTTCTCTGCAGAGAGACGCCTTAATGCTAGCTTTCCTTACACCGTTTACCGTTTGTTACATTCCTTTCACTCTGTCAACCGGGGCCTGTTTAAAAAAAAGGGAGGAAAAAGAATAGGAGGAGATAGATGGTGTCGATTCTCTGTCAGTCAACAATCTGAAATGGGTCTTAATGCCTGGGTGTCCTGCTTCACTTAACACAGAGAGCAATCCGCAATAGCAGCTCCTCCGGTCTTCAAAAAGACAGAAAAAAAGAGAAAACTCTCATGTGATTCCAACGGCTGGTAAATTGCGAGGTTTAAGCTCTCAGACCCATCCATGTGTGAGCCTCTTGGTGATTGGCGATGTTTGCTGAATGGAGGAGACGCCTGAGATAAATACGTGGCCCCGCGGTGATGCGCTAGGTAAATGGAAAACTGCAATTCTCCCTGTTGAGAATTCAGCTCGAGAAGAGAGAGGAATTTCATTAGAGTGTAATAGAGCTTTTAATTTCAGGGGTTGATAAAATTTCACTTTTTTCCCATCCTTACCTTCTTAACATTTTTAGTGGAATGTGGTTCCACAGAGGACAGATAATAAGTGCATGGTGAGTCAACACCGTCCAGATGAATATGCGAAGAATGAGCTGGAAATTATACTCTTGAGTCCTTCCAGTTTTATTGTGACCCGGAGTAATACATCAGCTGTCCGTTAATTGCATTTTAGGCCCATTGTACTGCTGTTTGTAGGCTTATTTTCTACCAATTAACCTTCAATTGCCACGGCCAAAACAAACTTAATTAAAACATATTTACTTGAGAATTTCCCATTTCACTGAAGCTGATTGAAGATGTAGCTCTAGCAATTAGTTTGCAGCCATACTCAGTAATAGACTTTAAGAAATTCCAAACTTTTCTAACTAAAAAACCCCGAGGATAGAGTCCAGAGAAGCCCTGTGCAGTCAGCGAAACAGCAACGTTTGGGTTATTTTTATTCAATAATACAAAACTGTTAAGTTCCATCTCACGTCTGTTTTTTTATTATTTTATTTGTCTGAAAACTTTCATTTGGCACTTGTTAAAGTTTCTTTAAAGAGTAACTAAACCCCCCCAAAACTTTTTTTTGCTAATTAACTGTACAATTTGGTCTTTACAAATGCAATCTTTCTGTTTCTGTGAATGTTTTTACAGGTTTGTGTAAACTTGATTAAATCTAGAGCCTATGTCTAAAAACGTCTTAGCGCTGCCCCCTGTTGGTTAAACTGTGGCTACTGCATTTTAAATTGTGACTGACTGGGGCTGTTACACTTTCACCTCATCGGTACAGTCTCCTCCCACTCCATGCCTCCTGGCAACGCCCACTTTCATGGCATTTTTCAAATCTTGACTAGGGGTGAAGTTACGTTTTCTGATGGTGTACAGTCGCTCTTTAAGTATTAAAAGTTCTAGATTTGGACCCAATGGAAGCAAACAATGAAGAATTTTCAGCACACTTGAATGTAAGTACTTAATAGGGCTGGGCAATAAATCCTTATCGAAATTTCTGACTCTTATCGAGATAATTTTTCCCGTGTCAATAAATTTGATAATAAAAAATGAAAACATGTGTAGGTCGGCAACGTTCATGTCCCTTTAAGAAGCTGTTCCACCTTGAGTCACATAAAAATGTGACTCTACATAACACATTTGACAGCCCCATCTAGTGGACAACTTGTGTTTCTGCACATACCTGTAGTTATTGTCCATTTATCGTTATCGAGGTAAAATCCTCAATATATCGTGACATTGATTTTACACCATATCACCCAGCCCTAGTTCTTACCCAGGCTTTCCACCAGATGCATAACATTATAGACGTGTTTTCCATAAAACTTCCCACGAGGAGTGTTTCAGACATGCATCAGCACCAAATCTGTTCTACCAAATCACAGCAGAATTGCAAGATGACACGCAATTTCGACAGTTCACACAATATCTGAAAACTGCAGGATGTTTTACACGCTGCTGTGTTTGACTTTCTGTCTGAAACCAGCTGAGCCCCCCCCCCCCCCCCGGACATGTGGTTATTAGCTGGGTATAACGCTTTGTGGACATTTAACAAGAAATACACACCAGTGGAAAGCAAAAGCGGGTAATTATGTTTTATCCACTATGCATGTCTGTGTGGATCTAGATCTACAACTGATTAACTTTAGGGATCAGCTCAATGCCAGGAGGCTACCAAAGCTAATCCATGTTAGCATACACCAAACCTTTTACAGGTGATGGGTTGAAAAGTGACATGTCAGTAGTTGAGAGGCTATGTGCTAGTTTACCAACGAGAGTAAACATAAAACATCGTCTGGGACCCCTCTTACAGGATTTTCATTTTAAAACTAAATATGATCAATTCATGAGACACGAGTCAGTTTAATGTCAGACTAGTTTGATCGTTTCTTCTTTTCTATTCAGAAAAAACAACGACCAGAGGCTAAGAATAAAAATACCTGCGTTTATCTTTTGGGAACCCACGTTTATTTAGTTTCTTTTTGGAAAAGGTAAGACAAAAAATACAATGTTAGAATAAATCTCCTTACCAGTGTCCATATCATGTGCCAGAAGTTTAGCAACAAATGTGCCAATCTCTGTGTTCTCAAACACGGTGATGGAGTAGGGATCCGATGAGAACTGAGGTGGGTTGTCATTCACATCCTCCACCGCGATGTGGATTTCTGCTTCACAGTAGCGCCCTCCTCCATCGATCGCTCGCATTCTGAACCTGTGCTCGCCCTGCTTCTCTCTGTCTAAAGGCTGGAAGGTCTTCAGCTCCCCTGGACAGGAGAAAAACACACAAACCGATCACAGTGTGTGTTTGCAACCAGGTACTGAACGCATTTAAGAGTTTAGCACCAAACCACAGCAACTTTTAAAAAAAGCATTCAAACCTAAGGAGATGGGAAGAGGGGGGCACAAAACTGAAGCACAGGAGGAGAAAGGTGTGAGGTGTGTGTGTGTGGGGGGGGGGGGGGGGGGGGTTGAAGAAAGAAATCAGAGTTGGCAGTAACAAGCAGCTAGAGAGTATCTTGGGAAGTGAGGGAGCCAAGATTACCACAACCTCACTGGAAAGCTCCAGAGCCTCTGGGCGATCATAATCGGCGATACTCCTGCTTGTCTGCACTGTAAAAACGAGATCCTTCTCCACGGCAGTGGCGTTGCTGCTGGAAATTCAATATTGGATGCTACCAGAAGACAGCTGGATGGCATTTTGCCCTTTTTTTCCTTGTCTTTGCAACAACAGATGTGTTGTAAATCTGCTGAAATCTACCAGCTTAGTTTGCTCTGTCTTTCTATGCTTTTATTCTGAAATCATCCTAAAAACAGGTTGGTTTTGATTAACTGGAATTGTTTTTTTAAGATGACTTTTTTTCTACCTACAACCAGATGGAAAGTCTGATGTAGAGCGTCTCCCAGAGGAAATAATTTGCCGGCGAGAAGTTCTGCAGACATTAATTCAATATAAGTGTGTGACTCTGTATTTTAATACAGGCGGGAGGCTTTCGGCGCCCAGCAGGGAAATGTTCTTGGTTCTTTATAAAAATGAATAAGTAAATAACATCTGGGCAAAACATTTAAGCCTCCTCTGTGGCTAACAATATGTACACATGGAGAAACAAAAGCATTTTGCACGGGAATCACTATTTCCACGTAAGATTTTAGTGCTGAACTGCCTTTTGGATTTGCTATCGATTCCTAAAGGCAACACTTTTCATAACAGCCTTGAACAAATACAACTAATCAGTTATTTAAATAAGATATCTCATGTTTTCTGCTGTATACGGTTATGCTGCTATTGCTACGACACAGACACACACCTGTTTCAGAGTCAATCATAAACAGTTCAGCTCCAACTCCCTGGAGCTCGTAGGAGATTTGGGCATTCGAGCGGATGTCGACGTCTGAGGCGGAGACCTGCAGGATGAGCCTGCCAGCAGGAGAGTCCTCTGGGACGCTTTCACTGTAGACGGCCTGCAGGATACAGAGTAACAGATGTAAAATGTACCCAATGCACATTTAATAAGATACAGAAAATATAACCAAAGTGAAATCTACCTTTTCGCAAACGGGGTCGTTATCGTTGGCATCCAGCACCTTGACTTCCACGATGGCTCTGGTGGTGAAGACGCCATCGCTGGCGGTGATGTTGAGCAGATAATTATCCGTCACTTCTCGATCCAAAGGCTTCCTGACGGACACCTTCCACTCATTCTGAACATGCTCGATGGCAAACTGGCCGAGAGGGTCTCCTCCTGTGTCATTTCAAAACATAACATTTGTAGTGCGCAGAAGCAGGAATCTCTCTAATCGCTGAAAAATCTGAGTATTACTGAAACAAACATTGAAAAATTAACAGCAACTTTCACAAAACAAACTGTTGATACACAGTTATGCAAAAGAAGAGTGGAATCCTGAAATAATGATGACTCCAACTCCTAATTCCTCTTGATATTGTAAACTTGGCATATTTATTCACACTTGCCAATTAGCAACACAAAAGGACATTTTCAGGCCATTTAAAAGACTTCTTTATAATGAGTTAAACATTTGTCAAGAGTTTAGGGGACATTCATATATATGTTCCTCAATTATGACCTATTGTTCAGTTCATGATACCTTTTCTCTTTTTTCTGTTAGTTAAAGACTTCTACTCAAAAACTTTTCAACTCGGAGCTAATTAGGCAGCCGAAACCAATAAAAAATAGGGCCGTGCAATCTGACAATATCAGATCGTTAAGGATTAGAATGTGATGATGATTTACTGAAGCTCGGAGATCGTGGAAAAGTCTTTTTTGCATTCTATCACCCATCTGTGCCATTATATCCGGATGTGTCTATGGTCATTACACACATGCTCAAGCATTAGCTCGATCAGTAAACCTCTGGGTCAATGTTCTGCTCTAAACTTTGCATTTGCATTTGTGGCTTGTATTATTTGGTTCCGTTCATTCATGTTGCAGCGAGCCTTTTCACCATGGCTGCTGACCCGAGTTCTCTTTTTCCTGTTTCTGTAGAGAGAAGCAGCCATGGAGAGCAGCAGGGCCAAGATACTGGGAGTGTAATCCTCTAAGTAGAGGATGAAAGATATTGAAAGTTTTAGGATTCTGGAACATTTGATCCTATTTTCTTTGAAGGGGTATGCTTTTAAATTGATGTATTTTACTGGTAAATATCTTAAAAAACGTCTGAGCTGTCGAAATGGAAAAAAGTAGTGATAAAAACTTGATTTTGCAAAAATAAATAGTGATTATTTTTTTCCATATCGCCCACCCCTAATAAAAACTCACCTGTTATGAAGTAGTTCACTTGTTTGTTAATGTCTTCAGAATCATCATCAGTGGTGCTGAGAATAGCAATCACCCCACTAGGTAGCGGGTCATCTTCGCTCACTGTTCCCTTGTAGATCTCTGCGGTGAACCGAGGTGGGTTGTCGTTCACGTCGGCTACCGTTACCACCACTGTAGCGCTGGTGGCATGGCGGACCGTGTCGCCTTGGTCCGTGGCCAGGACGGCGATGCTGTATTTGATCATTTTTTCACGATCTAGCTCTTTCAAGGTGGTTATCCATCCAGTTTCTCTGTTAACAGCAAACAGCTCGGCGATTTCCTGGGACTTCTGCTTAGGGTCGAGGCTGTAGACGACGTGGCCGTTGGTTCCAGAATCTAGGTCGTTGGCTTTGATTTGAATAACTTGTGTTCCACTTGGAAGGTTTTCAACAACGACAGCCTTGTAAGGGTCAGACTCAAAGACTGGTTTGTTATCATTGACATCTTTAACCTGGATGTTCACAATTACTGGTGCAACTACTTCATCGGTTTGAGCAAGCAGAGTGAGTTGGTACCATTTGGTCGTCTCATGATCAAGGTTCTTCTGAAGTTTTAAGGCCCCGCTGTCTCTGTCTAAAACAAACACTTCGTGCTCATTGCTCTCAGGTGTGTTGCCTTTCACAAGGCTGTAAACGAGCGGCTGCGTGCCCTCAGCCTGAATGGTATCAATCTCTGTGCCAATGGGAAGATCCTCAGCAACAGTGTAGCGATAAAATGGTTCAGAAAACTTGGGGATAGATGTCTCTGATGAAACAATGCTGACGTAAACCTTGACCACTGATTGTTTGGGTGGATTCCCAGTATCCTTTGCTTTCACAAAAAATGAGTAGAGCTCATTTTCAAGCCCAATGAGGCTTTCTTTGGTAATGATGACTCCTGAGGTTTTGTGGATCTCAAAATTCTCCCCCACATTTTCAACATCTGCTTCAAGAGAATACTCGATGTCTGCATTACTCCCCTCGTCCATGTCTGAGGCAGCAACTTTAAGCACAGATGTTCCTCTTGGGACGTCTGAAGCGATCGTGGCTTTGTACTCAACCGCTCTGAACTGTGGAGCATTGTCGTTGGCATCTGTGACAATAACGTTGACAACACAAAAGCCTACTTTTCCACTCCCATCTGTAGCTATCAGAGAAATAGGAATGACCTTTTCAACTGGATTTTCACGATCGAGGCTTTCAAGAGTGAAGATCTCTCCTTTTTCATTGATGGTAAATCTGTCTTTTGCAAAATCATTGACAATCTGGTAAGTAATCTGGCCATAGATGCCTTCATCGTCATCTATTGCCTGTGCTTCAGCAACCAGTGTACCAGCAGGTGAGTTCTCAACCACCTCCACCAAGACGTCCATCTGTGAGAAGGTGGGGTTGTGGAAGTTGGCACCAATAACTTTCACCTCCACAACTGCTGAGCCTCTGAATACGCCATCAGACACGGACACATTAAGACTGTAAAGAGGCTGCATGTGTGGCTGGCGGTGGTTTGAGATGACAATTGCTCCAGTTTTTTTGTTGATGGCAAAGTTCTGCTCCTCATTTCCAGATATAATTGAGAACTCCAACTTGTCAGCATCTGAACTGTCGGCATCAGACGCCTGAACTTGGCCGACAAAGTGTCCTCGTGGGGCTAATTCACTGATGGTGCTTTTGTATGTGTGCTCTGTAAAAACGGGCGCGTTGTCATTCAGATCCATAACATCTACTGTCACAACAATGTCACTCGAGAGGGCGGGCACTCCTCCATCTATGGCGCGGACTCTCAGCTTGTGTTGCTGGATCTCTTCGTGATCAAGAATTTGGGCTGTTGAGATTACTCCCGTGTCCCGGTCAATGGTAAAATAATCTGAACTCTTCCCTCTTTCCTCAACCAGCCGAAAAAACACTTCTTGGTTGTTACTGGTATCAGAATCTTTTGCAACCACTTGTAAAATGGATGTACCAATCACAGAGGCCTCAGAGATGTTTGCATAGTAGGCCTTGGACATGAACACAGGGGCATTGTCATTCACATCCTCCAGTATGATATCAACAAACACCTCAGAGTGAGCGCCAGTCAGCGAGTCTGTGGCTCTGACGTTTAACTTATAGGCAGGATGTGTCTCAAAGTCCAAAGCCTGAATCACAGGAATGACCCCTGTGTTAAAGTCAATTGAGAACTGTTTGAAAGGATCTCCCTCGGAGATGGTGTATACAATACGAGGGCCTTCAGAATCACTGGCCTGCACATGGAGCACAGGGGAGTGCAGTTGAATGTTTTCAGGGATTTCAATGCTGTAAAAAGGCCTCTCAAACACAGGCATTGCTTTGTTCACCACTGTTACTGGCACTTCAACTTCTGCAGACAGAGGAGGTTCTCCATTATCCTTAGCCACAACGACTAGAACAAACTTTGTATTGAGGGAGTCCTTCTCAAATTTCTTTTTGAGCAAGATCTCTCCAGATGAGCTAATATCAAAGTGCTCTTGATGCTCCTTCAAATAATAATGGATTTCTGCATTTGAGCCCCTGTCTTTGTCAACAGCCATAACCTGTCGAACGATGTGACCTTCTTCTGCATCCATCTGTACCGGAGCATGATAAGGAAGATTGACAAACATGGGTTTGTTGTCATTTACATCTTCCACGGTCACAGTAACTAAAGTATGGGCCGCATCTTCAGATTTGTTTTCCTCTGTGACCTCAACAATAATATCATACGTGTCCTGTGCTTCGTGGTCAAATGGAATCCCAGTGGTTGAGATAACTCCAGAGGTGGTGCTGATTTTAAACCTGTTGTCAGGGTTCAAAATTCTATAGAACAAAGGTTTGTTCACTTGGTTCCCTACAGCTGCAATGACAACCAGAGCTTTCTTGTCAGAAGAATTTTCTTGGATGTAGGCTTTGTATGACTCCTGGGTGAACTTCATCCTGTTGTCCTTGCTCTCCTTCACAGTGATCTTCACAGTAGAAACAGCAGCGAATCTGCCATCAGAAACTCTAATCTTTAATTCATATCTGCTCCTGAGCTGTGTGACATTCTGAATCGAGATGATGCCTGTGACTGGATCAATTTTAAACTTATCACCAATATTTCCCTCAGAGATGGAGAAGAGAAGTTTTGCGTTGGGTCCAGAGTCTGAGTCTGAGGCATTCACTTGAATCACTTCTACGCCTTTGTAGGTTGGCACAATGACAGCGGCCTCATACAGCTCTTGGCTGAAAACTGGCGAGCAGTCATTAACATCAATTACTTCAATGGTCACATTGGTCGGCGTCTCCGCAAACAGCCGCGGCATTCCTAGGTCGTGAACCTGAACTGTGAAGCGGAAAGCGCTCCTCTGTTCGTAGTCCAAAGCTGCTGTTATTCTGATGGCTCCTGTACTCGAGTCAATGGCAAAATAGTTGTGAGCAAAAGGTTCAACTATTTGATAAATCAGCCTGGCGTTTTGGTCAGAATCTGCGTCAGACGCATGAATAACAAAAGGGGTGTTTTCACGAGTCAGAACAACGCTGTTGATTGAGGCAAGCTCACTGATCACTCCCTTGAATTCCTTCTGGGTGAAGACTGGAGAGTTGTCATTTTCATCCTTGAGGTGAATGAGAAGGGTGGTGTTACTGGCAAGTCCGGCCATGTTGGTTCCCTGGATGATGAGTTTATATTGAGAGATGGTCTCATAATCTAAAGCCTTTTGCGTTACAACCACTCCAGAGTTTGGGTTAATATCAAACGCGTTGTTAACATTGCCGCCTCTGATTTGGTAGAAAACAGACGACTGGCTGATGGCTGTGACCATGTTCACAAAACTTCCAGGAGGGGCCAGCTCGCTGATCTCTGAGGAGGATTCTTTTTCAGTGAATCTGGGGGCTGCATTGTCAGAAACGGTTACCATAATATTTACAGAGGTGGTGGTGGACAGCGGTGGTGCTCCATTATCAGAGGCCTTAACAATGAGTTCAAATGCTGCCTTGCTGCTACAATCGAGTTCTTTGGCCACTGTGATTATCCCGAGAACAGGATCAATAGCAAAAGAGTTTCCAACATTTCCTGTAAGACAGAAAGATTAAGAGAATCACGTCATGTTTTCTGCATCCTGAATGTCTTTTATGGGTTTTGACTCTAAACAAAGCAAGCTGCAACAAAGTCTCACAGACATCTCAGCTATTTCAGATATGCATATCTGCAAACAACAGGCTATCTGCAGCAAGCCTCCTGCAACTCAGTGTGAGAGAGGAGCATCATGGGAAACTCAGAGATGTGCCCATCACCCACACAATGGAGACCCTCTAAACAAAGACGTCAATATTTTCCTTCTCTCTGTGCAACATTTCATTCATGATCAGGATTCAGTGGGCAGCATGAAGGATGATGACTCATACATTTTTAATGAGCTGAGTTTATTTGTTTTATTTCACAATGAAACCTTTGTGCTATGTGAAGGAAGAAAAAAATGATTAGGGAAGCTGTGACTCATTTGAAAGGCAACGTAACGCAGTGGGAAACTACCTGACTCGATGCTGTAGACCACCTCAGCATTGAAGCCCATGTCCTTGTCCAGAGCAGTGACCTGCAGCACGGCTGAGCCTACAGCGGAAGACTCAAACGCACGGCCAGAGTACGGCGTGCCAATAAACCAGGGTGCGTTATCGTTAGTGTCATCCACGTCAACGATAATGCGCACGAGATTCCTCTTTACTGGGATGTCCTGGTCTCGAACCTGGAAAAATCAAATAATAAAGCAACTCAAACAGATGAAAAAAGTGATTAAAAACAAAGGGAGAAACCATTTAAATGTTTTTCTATTTTATGATAAGGAGGAAAGATGAACTCCCTCTGAGATGGATTCGTACCATAACAGTGAGGATGTGGCGGTGCATGGTCTCGTGATCCAGCCGTTCGGTGGTGAACAACGTGCCCGTCCCCGGGTCCAGCCGGAACTTTCGCAGGCTGAAGGGATCAGTGCTGCTCAGGAGAGTGTAGGTCAGTTTGTTTTTCTCATCTCTGTCCGTGGCACGGACCTGCAGGACCTCCGTCCCCGCGGGTTCATCTTCGGGGATGTTCACAACGTAAACCTGATGGGAGAACTGTGGCCGGTGGTTGTTGGTGTCAATGACTTGGATGAGCACCTGAGGGGAAAACGTTTACGTTTTTTAAAGGAATCACTACAGATTTCATGCACAAAAATGTTATTTTTTAAAATGATAACCACCAAATATTTGAAGCAGTCAAAGATAAGCCCAGTGTTTCACATTTTTACTCAACACGTTTTCATTAAATGCAAGTCTAAAGCAGGAATTCATTAAAAGTGAACATTCTGATCAAATCGGTGATATGGCAACCGCTCAATGTAAAATCATTTGTATTTATTTTTATTAAACAAAGTAAATTTCAAGCCAAGCACCTAAAATATCCTTTTGTATTTTCTTTTCACTCCTTTCTAATTCACATTTGAAGCCTCTGAAACCATTTTTCTGGGTTCTGCAGTAGTAAATAGCATGATCAAATTCACCATCAGAACGATACGCATGAAAGCAAAAGCAGCGCTTTAACTGAAAGCCCACTTGATGCTGCTTACAGTGAAAACAAAACTAAATCAATACTGACTAACCAAACACCTCAGTGAATTCTGTGTTTTGTGCAGGAACCGATTATTCATCAGGGAAAAGTAAGAGTCTAAAACAAATGAGCTGCTGAAAAGATAAAAAAAATAGTCATTTCATCAAGATGGATTATGATGATTAAACGTGCTTTAGCGGCCCTGCTGTGGAGTTTTATTACTCTGACAAGCAACTGCTTAGAGTGAAATCTATAAAACCATTTGCACACATGTGTGTTTTGTGTCTGATGGCAAAAAGTGTGTATTTGTGAGTGTGTGTGTGTGTTTTTTTATTCATTTTGTTCACCCTCAAAACAAATAATCTAACATCTCCAAACTGTAAAATTCCACCGGGAGCGTGCTTTATCAACACTAGCCACTCGTCTGCTGGACTTCCGACAGAGGATTATGGAGAGCTGCTGGAATGCCATCTTTGCTTCCCTGACCAGCACGGGCCTTCTATTGTTTGCCAAACATGGAGAACAACGGGATCAGCCCAGATTAGACACCTGCATACCAGACAGCGGGGGGCGTGTCCTGTAAGGACACAGCTTCAGCCGGGCTCTTTTGGACACTGTACACACAAAAGCGCCTTGCCCAAGTGGCAGCTCACTTGCTTACCTGCAGATTGGTCAGACTGTGGTCAGATCAAATGCCAATTTGAATTTCTTGTCACAACAGCGTTAGTTAAGCTGCGTGAACTAATATCATTTTCTTGGACATTTTTATTCTAGTTTCTCAAGAAAAACGGTTAATTTTTTTGACATTCTACTTTTCTGTTTCTGGTGCTGTGACGCTTGGAGGACTTTTTAGTGTTATTTTTTCACTTTTTGAGCATTTGTTATGATGGGTAACCATGGCAACAAGCTGGTTTACAATAGGGAACAGCTTATCAACATTGGAAAGGCTGAAATAATACCTCAACTGAAGCCACAAATCCCAAATAAGCTAAAAAGTGTGGGTGCAGAAGGGGAGCAAAACGGAGACGGAGAAAGAGGAAATTCAAACCATCTCTTCCATCGATCATAATGGGCAATGTGAGATCACTGGCCAACAAGATGGAGGAACTCCAAGCCCTTTCAAGGACTCAGCCAGAATTTTGGCAGTGTAGTGTTATGTGTTTCACTGAGACGTGGCTGCAGGACCTTATCCCCGATTCCAGCGTCTCTCTGCCAGGATTCCTGACTGTACGAGCAGACAGAGATCTGAAGAGGAGCGGGAAAAGTAAAGGAGGTGGAGTGGCAGTGCTTGTCAACAACAGATGGTGCCATCCAGGTCATGTTTCAGTGAAATATCGTCTCTGCAGCCCAGATGTTGAACTCCTGGCAGTAAGTTGTCGCCCATATTATTTGCCAAGAGAGTTCACCTGTGTTGTCTTGGCAACCGTTTATATTCCACCTTCAGCCATTGCTGAAAATGCATGTGATGCCATCAGTTCAGTTGGCGCTAAACTACAAACCCAGCACCCCGGTGCATTGTGGCTATATCTGGTGATTTTAATCATGCCTCGTTCTCTGCTACATTTCCAACATTTCAACAGTTTGCCAGCTGCTCCACCAGAGAAAACAAGACATTGGATTTGTGTTATGCAAATGTAAAGAATGCATACATGTCCAAAACAAGACCTCCTCTGGGACAATCAGATCACAATCTTGATTCCTCTGCTCAGAATACAAACCACTTGTTCAGAGGCAACCTGTGACAAGAAGAACTGTGAGAAAATGGTCACAGGACGCTGAAGAAGCACTGCAGGGTTGTTTTGAGACCACAGATTGGATGACTCTCTTCCAAGGATATGAAGAGGACATCAATGCCATGCCTGGATGTGTCACTGACTATATAAACTTCTGTGTGGACAACATCATACCCACCAGAACAGTGAGATGCTTTGCTAATAACAAACCCTGGATCACCAGAGAACTGAAGAATCTGCTAAATGAGAAAAAAAGAGCCTTCAAGGAGGGAGACAGGGAATTATTGAGGAGTATACAGAAGCAACTGAAGATCAAGATCAGAGACAGCAAGGACGAATACAGGAAGAAGCTGGAGAACAAACTACAGAGGAGCAATATCAGAGATGTCTGGTCAGGGATGAAGAAGATCACAGGATTCAAGCAGAGGAAGGACGCCAATGAACTGAACAAGTTCTTCAATAGGTTCAGTTCAGGAACAAGCCCAGCATCCTCCTCGCCTGTCCCCAGCCAGTCAGACATTCCATCATCCCCCGATCCAACATTTTCCTGTCACACGCCAGCTCTTTTGTCCTCTAACGCAGTCATGGACTCTTCTTGTTCTATAAATCTGTCTTCAACCAGGTCAGGAGATGCTGCTTCCCCATTTACCTCCCCCTCCTACCTATCTGTCTCTAGAAGTCTCTAGAAGAGACAGCTGGAGAGACTGAACAGGAACATGGCTGCAGGTCCAGATGGTGTCAGCCCCAGGGTACTGAAGGCCTGTGCAGAGCAGCTCCTTTGGATTCTGCAGCACCTCTTCAACCTCAGCCTGGCCCAGGAGAAAGTTCCAGTCCTGTGGAAGACATCCTGTCTTGTTCCAGTTCCAAAGAAAACTCGCCCATCAGTCAATGACGACTACAGACCGGTTGCCCTGACATCCCACATCATGAAGGTCCTGGAGAGACTCCTGTTGGTCCACCTGAATAAGCAAACTAGAACATATCAGGGCCCGCTGCAGTTTGCTTATCGCCATGGAGTTGGAGTTGAAGATGCCATCATCCAACTGCTTCAACCAACCCACTGTCATCTGGACAAAGCAGGCAGCACTGTGAGGGTCATGTTCTTTGATTTCTCCAGTGCATTTAACACAATCCAGCCTGATGTACTTTGCCAGAAACTCCAGAAGACACAGGTGGGGGCCTCAACTATCGCCTGGATTAAAGACTACCTGACAAACAGACCACAGTTTGTGAGACTGAAGAACTGCACATCAAACCAGGCGATCAGTAACATTGGAGTACCACAGGGGACTGTACTCTCACCATTCCTTTTCACCCTGTACACCTCAGACTTCCAGTACATATCAGAGACCTGTAATCTACAGAAATACTCAGATGACTCTGCAGTCGTCGGGTGTATCAGAGATGGACAGGAAGCTGAGTACAGAGAGCTGGTGGAGTGCTTTGTGGCATGGTGTGGAAACAATCATCTGACCTTGAACGTGAACAAAACAAAGGAGATGATTTTAGACTTCAGAAGAAACAGGGTGGAGTCAAACACTGTATCCATCATGGGAGAAGAAGTGGAGGTGGTTGAGGAATACAAATACCTTAGAGTTCACCTGGACAACAGACTGGACTGGAGAAAGAACAGCGAAGCCGTTTACAAGAAGGGGCACAGCAGACTGCACTTTTGAGGACGCTTAGGTCCTTCAATGTCTGTAGCAAGATGCTGCAGATCTTCTACAAGTCTGTTGTTGAGAGTGTAATCTCTTCAGCCATCGTCTGTTGGGGTAGCAGCATCAGAAGCAGGGACCTGAAAAGGCTCAACAGCCTAATAATTTAGGCTGGTTCTGTTCTGGGGACGACCGTGAAACCACTGGAGGAGATAATGCAAAGAAGGATTCTCCAGAGAATCAAGAAAATGATGGACAACCCTGAGCATTCTCTTCACAAGACTGTCCGACAACGGAAGAGTGTCTTCAGTCAGAGGCTTCTTCAGTTTGGCTGCAACACTGACCGCTACTGGAGATCCTTCCTGCCAACAGCCATTGTAATATACAACAACTCTTTGATGACTTGATTATTATTATTATTATGAGCTACTACAGCAATCAATTTCCCTCTGGGATTAATAAAGTATTTTTGAATTGAATTGAATTGAATCTGAGACAAATATGGACCCAACCTGACAGGACTGATAACATTTACAATCTGCTGTGTGCTGAGATGCTGGCAAGGCCGCTGAAGCCCACAGATGTCATCTTGCAGGGGGAGCACTGGGACGTGCGCTGTCGGTCGGAGTTGTTTTCTGGCTGTTTGCCACAACTCTCCTGTCACCAGCAACCCATATCGCTCTGCTAATCAGGAAGTGTAAAAAGTAGAACAAGTACATTTTCGTAAAGCGCCATTAAAGCTGAATAAGGTAAACTATTTCCAGCGTCAGAGTGACAATCTCGTCTCGTTCCGTTGCGTCTTCTGATGTGAAGCCAGGGATCAGACAGCACCTGATCCCTAATGTCTTTAAATCCACCTTTTATGCGCACGCACACCGAGACAAGCTCATAAATTGTGCACCTTCTCGTCTGCATCCACACAATGAGTCTGTGCAATGGTTCTCAATGTGGCCAGCTTCAGATAACACGTTTTATGAAAAGAGAGAAAGGTGGAAAGAACTGATAGTGCTGTAAAAAAGCCAAAAGGAACGGAATCAGGTCTGCAGCGTCTACATCTCTTCGCTGCATACTATTCCAGTGCCTTTCTATAAGGCCCACAAAAGGCTATTTACCCCTCACAAATACACACACACACACACACAAACTTGCCATTCCCTTTGCAAAAAAGACTGTACATCGCTTCAAAGGAACTTTGTCTCCAAACATTACAAAGCAGCGTGACTGCAGCAGAAAAACACTGGTGTGGAGAAAAGAAACTCTGTTGTCTTTGTGCACGGCTTCCAGAGGGAACGCTTTGGAACAAGACAGGACTGAGAAACAGACGTGACAGATGGAAATACTGAAAATTTAAAAAAATGCTATCAGAGTGAGAGGAGAGTAAGAAAGGCAAGTGAGAGAAGAAACTCACCAAAACTCAATGAAACGGTCAGAGCTATGAAAACACACACGTTTGAATTTAGAATGAAAGGAATACAGAAACAAAGAGATCTGAATGAGTGTAAAATACAGCAATCACCTTTGAAAGCAGCAAAACGTGTAATTATGGTGGATTAAAGTGAAGCCTTAAGTGAGACAAGGCTTTGTACAGGGGACGAAGATAACATAAGAAACAGGACACCAGGAACAGATTGTGAGCAGAACAGCTTGAGGTACTTTCTGCAGAGCCAAGGGAGGATGTCATATAGCTGGAGACGAGGAGGGGGGCGGCCGGGCCGAGTGCCGAAGCTGCCTTGTTGGCTCGGCTTCTGGCTACGCGGTGCCCGAGCTGGAATGCGGCACCCCTCGTCTTCATCAGCTGATCCTTGAGAGACAGACGCCTCCACAGAGCTACGGTGGTCAAGTAGGAAGAAGCACACAAAACCAGGCCAACTGTTTCCATTCCATCTCCCACAGGCCAGGATCTGATATACAGACGGAAGCCTCGGGAGTTGTGGGCTTGATATAATCTCACATCTTCAGCTCAGTTTGCAACTGTAATTTGAATTTACACAGATTAACACAAATAAAAAAAACGTACAAATGACTCTTTGAAAGGTGAAACCTCTTTGTGCGATATTCAGAACAGGACATGAGGGAGCACTCATTGTGTTTGTTGGCCTCCTGTGCCCCCCCTCCCACAAACACACACCCCGCTGCCAGGTGGCAGGTTCCAGGCAAGGGGAGGCTGCTGGCATGGAGCAGCGATCAACAATGTTCCCAAAGCAGATGTACCACTGTCCACGACCCAGAGAGGTTCAGCCCTTCTGTTTGCACTTTAAACTACACAAACAGAGAAATCATCGGCCCTGGACATCTGGCCTGTCTATGCGGAAGGGTCTGAAATATTATAAAATAAAGTTTAGCAAAAGAAAACCACAAGGAAACACAGAGAGGACTGAAGCACACAAAAAAGAAAGGAAACATTCCTAAGAGAGGAAAAACTAGGCCAGTACGTCTGGTAACACAGGCACCACATGACTTTGATCTGAGGAACAGATACGTCTTCAGCGTTCATGAGGTGCTCTGGGTGGGCGACAATGGACATCTCCGTTGGAGAAAAGTTCTTTCAAAGTGAATTACATTTGGAGTGAGAAAATTCTAATTAGTTCTCATGAACAAACAACAGATGAGCCCTTTACATGCTTAATCTACGACAACACCCTTAAAGTCAGCTGCCTGGTGATAACGCTGTCCGATATGTATAGGTAATAACAAAAAGCAGATGTTCGCCAGTGTTTTCATCTCTTTTATATTATGAGTCAACCAGCTGTTTCCAGTTGTCAAAGCTTCTGTGCGCATCTTTCAATCAACACATCTCAAGCAGCCAATTTTACAAAGAAAAGTTTATAGAGCATACAAAATGAGTAAACCCTCTCCCTCAACAGAAAACAGCTGAGCTACAGTAATCATCTGGGTGTCTGTTATCACACACACACACACACACACACACACACACACACACACACACACACACACACACACACACACACACACACACACACACACACACACACACACGCACACACACACACACGCATCTTTCTTTCTATCATAGTGAGGGCCACCCATTGACTCCCATTCATTTTGTGACTGTATTATGCCTAACCCTAACCTACCCTAACCTAAACTAAAAGTGAATTCACAACGAACCTCTAAGACCAAGTTTTTGGGGGCTTAGCATTGTGTGGACCAGCAAAATGTCCCCACAATTTAAAAATGTCCGCACAGTGCAGGTTAAAGTTAAAAATTGTCCACTTAAACCTATAAAGACAAGTACACACACACACACACGCACGCACACACCTCCCAACAAATCTGATATATTCTCTGAAATCACATGGCAGTAAGGAAAAAGCTGCTGTTTCTTCATGTTGTTGAGCAAATGGACGTTTTATTGCTGTCGTTGACTTATTCATATAAACCAGTGTTATTTTGCTAATTTATATGGCACAAGTTACCATCTTCCATTGGAAAACTGATCAAACCAGTTCATTTTTTATTAATATTTTCCGAATAGGACAATTTTTGCAGAAAATTTGTTTCACGGTTTATTAACGTAAAATATAGTGGATAAGGTTAAGTTATCAAAAAAAAAACTCACAAATAAATCTTGTGTTAAAACAAGCACTTTAATATAATTTTGATGTTTTAGGATGTTCCTCATTTAGTAAAGACACAAAGTTAGATAGGATTACATAGAATGGATGGGTGTATGTATCGACCATCAGTGACAGTCAGAGCCATTCACCGATCATTTATTCACTAGCGATATTTTTTGCACGCCTATGAATTGGTCTCACAGATTGGGCATTTGATACTTCCATGTCAAATCAGCATCTTTTTTGTAACACTCATCACTGAATACTAGAAAGCTTGGGTTCTTGGGATTTCTTTGGTATATCCCAACCAAGGGTTAGGGTTGGATAATCATAACTGTAGACACAGTAAAGTAGGGATGCACAATATATCAGCATCAATATCGGTATTGGCCGATGTTAGTCATTTTTTGAACATATCGGTATAAACTGGGCCGATATTAACAACCGATATTTTTTCCATCTTGTTTCCATCTGTTTCTGAGGGTGAGTGGAGTGGCGTGTATGTGTTTAGTCATGTGACAGTGAATGTAATCACCATCTGTGTTGTGTGTACATAATAACATAAATTCAGCTTTAATAATGTTCATTCTATACAAAATTGTTGATTTTTGAAGCATTAATGTCAGTATATTGGTATCGGCAAATATCAGTTATCGGCCATAACCGTGATGTTGATATCACTATCGGCCCAAAAAGTTCATATCGGTGCACTACTACAGTAAACGCTTTGTCTCACCACTCAGGACTTCTAATGATCTCTAACCTTGTATCGTGGTCGGAAGACAAAACGTCTTCTTATGTCCACAAGGATCCAATAAATGTACTTCAGTGAAACACTCAGACCACAAGTCTCAACATAATACACTGAAAATATAACATAATACACAGTTGGCATCCTCATATTAGATTCAAGCCCCAGGACAGAAGGAAAGGCGTTTCAGCTTCAGATGCACAGAAGAAACTGTCAACATATGTGTATTAACTCTCAGAGGATCTACACGCCCGCACTCTCCACAAAAAGGTTTTTTAGAGGAATACTTTAACCTCTTCCTAAGTTGAAGATACCAGTGGAAACGAGATTCAGCCAAATGCAAATGTGTAACAAGTTCTGTGTTCAAATTACACGAAGTTTTCACTTTGTTTATATCCCCCCAACTGAGCATGCACCGGGTGGCCTGCGCCTATGGAGAGCACGGTCCCCTTTAAAATCACAAGAGCTTCAATGGAACTGGACCTAGGGCTGCATCCGCCCCGACCTTTAAGAGAGAATAATCTGAGTTAAAATGTCACTTCATGTGTATTGTTGAGAGGCTCTTAAAGAGTGTTTTCTTGCCAATGCTTTTGAGAGACTGCCTAACAGAAGGAAAACTCTGCAGCGGGTTTTAAGGTTTGACACCAAACTGTTTTGGTGGATGAGCTCCAAAATGCCAGTGAAGGCATCGCGTCCACCAAGGCTCAGTGGAGCACAACAGCCTGATGATGAAAGACTTCATTCATACAGAGTGACAACAAATAGATTATTTTCCAGCTCCAGTTCTCTGAAGCTCTGCCTTAAAGGACAAACCACTCTGAATGTCACAGTCCTGTACGACCCAAACTCCGATGTGTAAATATCAAAAATCTCACGGACAAGGCATGACCATCAGGACAAAATCCAAAGGCAGCTTGCATACTTAAGGAGCTTTTATTGTCAGCTTTGCTATCAGCTGGGACAAAACACAGCTCCACATTTAGTTATTTAAGCTATGCAGAAATACCACAGAGGCTAAGTGGTTGGGGGGGGGCGCCTTTAGTGAGATTGCACTATCACCTAACCCTATCAGAATCAAAGACTCACTAGCCTCGTGCAGAACACAATGTCGCCAATTTAAAGCAACGCCGCACGTGTTTTTGACAAGCCGCTCCAAAAGGTGTCTGTCCTCCACGGTCTCTGGTGATCTGACCTCCAGTCCTAAGGAAGAGAAGCTGCTGAAGCTCTGTGTCGCTCTAGTTCATCATCTCAGCTGTATCTGATTACCAAAGCAAAACTTACTGCCCGCGTTTACTTTCATTTTCAATATAGTTGCCGGCTGGAGCTCTGCAGTAACTCCCCACATGATCATGAAACCTCCCTCTGTTGCGCCAAGGCGTAAAATGCATTCACAAGTCCTGTGTTGTGGCAATATAACTACCAAGCATGAATGCCGCAAAATTCCCGCAATGCCATGCCACTACGGCACGTCCATATGACACATGGTGGCAGCAGTATTAAGCCGATTTGCCGGCATGGTGTGTGCTACTGAGGGACAGGTGCTGGGCTCTGAAATCCTTACAAAGCACTACAGTAAACTGTGTTTCCTAAAACTTTTTCTTTGATAATAAATGTTTATGTTTCTAGAATGAATTTGTCTTGATAAACCAAAGATTAGACTAATAAAATGTAGTCTTAAACAGCTTGACTTCAGAAACATAACTCTAAGCTACTTATTTTCTTCCTAAAAGACACGAAAGCATAATTAGACTTCAGCAAGTCCTGCCTTTTCTTGCATGAGGGAAAAAAAGAAAACCATGACAACTGCCTCATCAGCCTCCAACCGTTTCATTAGTGTTTCAATTACCTGAGTGCTGACAGTTCGTGTCCCATCTGTGGCTTCCACTGTCAGGTTGTAATTTGATTTCTGCTCTGTGTCCAGGGGCCGAGCGACAATCAAGGTTCCACTGGCCTTCCCAACGTCAAAGCGGCTGTCGTAATTGCCACCTGTGATTTTTTTTTCCCATGCAAACAACCAAAAAAGACAGAATGTTAGAGACGGACCATGGCACGGTTGTGTCCATGTCACAAGGTCACGCAAACATGAGATGGGGGCACAAAGGTAGACAAGAAAACATCAATTGTTTGCTCTGTGGTGTCAATAATAATAATAAAGACAGGCATATTTACTTTTCTACATAATCTTTGTCACTTGAATAGATATTTGGAGCATTTGATCCAGAAAACACAATTTACACGATTCTCTTCTGCAAAGAAAGACTGAACTAGGGGTGTAACAATATTGGCAATAACGTAAAATCATCTTAGTAAAATGGCCACAATATCGTTGTGGTCTTGTCACGATATTGAACAGTATGTCTAGAGGTAAAAATTACACTTCAAAGTCCATTCCACCAGAGCATAGCAAGGTTAACTTTGCTTCTGCGTCATTGGCCAGTGTATCAGAGTAGGACTTGTATCATAAAGGGATCCCTATCTCACTATCTGCTTGTCCTTTGAAGTGGTGGAGGAGTGGTGCAGAACCATACCCACTGCTGTCACTGTTAGCCAAGATGTATCTTTAGCCATTTTTACAAAACAATGTCATCAATTAGCTGCAACGGCGTGGCGGCATCAGGGAGCCTTAGGTCGTTTATGAGCGGTCAGATAATGGAGGTAATGTGGCGCAATCATGTCCTCATCACAAAAGATTAGGCGATGGCAGCATAAAGGAGGTATGGGGGCAGTCCCTGCACTGCCACGGACTTTTGTTTCTCTTGAGCATAACTTGCTTTTTATGCTCATTAAGTTTTTTTAACAAGCTGTAGCTAAAGGTGTCTGTCCCCATTAGTCCCCGTGCAGTCTCTGGTGACCTGAGCTCCAGCTCTAACAGAGAAAGGTTCATGAAGAGCTGCAGCACTCCAGTTTGCTGTTTCAGCAGATTTTGTTCAAACAGCAAAACTTAAGGCCTGTGGTTACTAGGGATGGGTACCTTTGACATTTGAATCGATCCGGTACTAATTACCGGTACCTACGAATCGATACCGGTACTTAACGGTACCAATTTTCGATACTTTTGAGTGTTTATTATTTTAATTCTCTTTTATAATTAAATATATCTTTTTCTCAATATATAACAATACTTGATAAATATCACGATAAATAACATACAACTGTTTGTATTTTAACATAGCCCTTGTAGTTTTATAAGGTGATAATTAAACTGAAGCAAAAATCTTTACTGTGAACTAAATTTACTGTGTATCTTCATTCCTTTTGCCATCTTTTTTCATTAGATTTTTCCTACTGGGAAGTTAGAATTTCCGAGGAGAATGCGAACGCACCGTTAGCTGATGACAATAGTAGCAATGGAAGCTAACGTATCAAGCTAACGATATCTTAAACAGTTTATTTAGCTGCTGGAGCAGATTAAAACGATACCTCACACTTAGATCGTCACTGGTTTCGTCTTCACCCGTCACATTTAGTAAAGTGAAGCCAAACTTTAGAGCGCGTTCATGTTGTTCTAGTCGGAAAATCGGAGTTCCGAGGAGAAAGCGAACGCACCATTAGCGAAACGGAAGCTAACATATTAAGCTAATTACATTTACCTACCGGAGCAGATTAAGATGAGGATGTCTCACTTAGATAGTTGTCGCTGGTTTCATCATCCAGTTACCCATCACATTTAGTGAAGTGGACCCAAGCTTTAGCGTGCGTTCTCTCTACCATGCTGCTCTGTTTACAACTGGTTCACAGCAAGCGACGACAAAACGCTCTTGCGCATGCGCAGCTGTCTTGGCAAGTTCTCGTTATGAAGGATGGGTACCGAAACGAGGCACCGTTTGAAATGACGTGAATCGGTGCTCGGTCGGTTCTATGGAATTCGGTCGGTACCTTAAAAAGTACCGAATTCGGTACCCATCCCTAGTGGTTACTTTCATTTTCACTATAGTTGTCGGCCGAAGCTCAGCATTAACGTACGTCATCATGACACCTCCCTCTGTTGCGCCAAGGTGCAATGGCCGTTTATAAGACAGACAATTACTGCAATATTACTACCAAGAGTGAGGCAGCACGAATACTGCAAAATTCGCACAACGCCATGCCGTCAAAGCGCGTTTATAAGACACACTGCTGCGGTAATATTCTGCCGATTTGCCTTGTAAAAAGGGCTTGTGTATACAAGCTACCTCCATACCTAATGAAAGGGCATTTTCAACAGCAGGGGACATTGTAACTGCTTAGAGATCTGCCTTCGTCCTCTCAGATGCTGACGTGTTCATTGGGGATGTTCACAACAAAAAAACATGAAACTGGAATAGAACTATAGGCTTACTGTGGCTTATCTTCCAAATCTTGTCCCGTTTGGTATTGCCTGGGTACTTTTATTTATTAACTATTAACTCATTCACTGCCAATGACGACTAAAGTCGTCATTTACATGTTTTTACTGTGTGGGAGTCGGAACGAGCCCCCGCACGGTGAAAACAAACATCTCAGCTCTAAAGCCGATCTTCATCCACGTACGTCACACGTGATCAGGATGCAGAACATCCATGTTTTAGGAGATCGTTTTGGGCCGCTGCTGTAAAAAAAAGTGAGGCGCGAACCAGAAAAGCTTCTGCCGATCACAATTCAACAACGGATTATGAATGAACGGATAACGCTCGAAACGCGCGGATTCTTCCTGATGTAAGAGGTGAGTCTCTGCTTTGTTTTGGTAGTTTTGGCGTCGACATCATCCTAGCGCTCAAGGTTCTGTGACTCTTAAAAAAACTGTAAAAATGGTGAGAAACGCTGGCAGCAAATGAGTTAATGACTAGGCAGTTTTGTAGTGTCTGTGTACTTTTATTTATTGAATGGGCAGTTTTATAATGTCTTTATTTTGGCTGTTTATTCAGTACTTGGATTACCTTTTCTTTAATAAATACATATTGAGTTGTTACTTGAATTTAGCACATTAGCAATGGCTTTCAGGGTGTTTATAATGTCATAATGGTAATTAATTAATGACACATTTACGAATGACCGGTCAAAGCATTTTATTTTGTTGGTTTTATTATTGTAAGCCTCCCCACAATATTGCAATAAATATCGTTTAGTGAAGTTCATATCGTGAGAATATCGTATCGTGAGATTTGGATATTGTTACACCCCTATGAAGAACACAAAATAAAGTGAGTTAAACGTGTCAGGAGGGTGGGAAATATGTGGCACAACACCAACCCCGTCAAACACGAGTCAACCAAAACCAACAGGCAGTACCAACGAACAGACAATCTCTTAATACAGCAGAGCCTATTAAGAGATCCCAGCAGCTACCTTCTGCTGTACAGTTGTGGTCACAAGCCATCTGAAGGATGTAAAACATCTCAGCATCCTCTGACCCGCCTTGCACAAATCCAACCAAACAGAATTGTCCACAGACAAGGAAGAAAGCAATGAAAGAGCACAAAGACGAAGAGAAGAAAAGGAGAGAAGTGTCAGTTGGACATTGATTAAAAGGAAAACAGGCTGGGAGGAAGGGAGAGGAGGCAAGCATTTTCAAAGGGAGTCAGTTTAAATCTTATGGCTGTAGTAAGTTAAAACAAAGCACATTAAGACAGAGAATTATTAATGAACTCTAAAAGACCTAAATACTTATTGAAATATTGGATGGTGGTTTAATGACATGCAAAAATCTGGAAACTTTGTTTAGTTGTTCTAACTACAACAGAGACTTCACACAAAGTGCAGAAACACAACAGGTATGCAAGTTACAGAGGCCGTACCTGTGATTTCGAACCACACAGGGACATCAGAGGACTCTGTGGCGACGACGCCCACCATGTGTGCCACAGGGTCGCTTTCCATGACGGAAAACATGAAGGGGGACTCCTCAAAAAGCAAAGGAGACGCATCAGCTGGGACCTTCGGTTTAGGGATCCATTCGATGTGCAGACGACAAGTGGAGGACCTCTGTGGACGGCCATTATCGACAGCTTTGATCTTAGGGAGGAAGAGAAATAAAGTCAAGGTAACAGAATGTTGTCAAACACAGTAAATGGTTTTGTGTGTTTTAGAACATTCTAACATTTCTGTGGCGCTGCACTTGTGACTAAACTTGTTTTCGGAACCGCACCACAAATTGTGATGAGCAAAAGCTTCTTGCAGCCAAAAATACATTAACTGCATCAGCAATTCTACTAGCTTCCTGTGGGAAGTAAAAGCAGAGTCTAGAAGACTGGGAGAGGCTGCAGCATGCATTTTCACACAAGTAACACACTGATTTCCCAGTAAACATTGAGATTTTCCAGAACTGCGCTGCTCTGGGTGGCTGCATGTTGGACTAGCTCTGTTGGCTATATGTAAGTTTAGCCTTTTCTTGGACATTTTTTCTTCTAGTTTCTCAAGAAAAACTGTATTTTTTGGACATTTTACTTTTCTGTTTCTGGTGCTGACGCTTGGAGGATTTTTACTGCTATTTTTTCATTTTTTGAGCATTTGTTATGATGCATAACCATGGCAACAAGTTGGTTTACAATCGGGAGCAGCTGATTAACATTGGAAAGGCTGAAATAATACCTCAACTGAAGCCACAAATCCCAAATGAGCTAAAACGCAAGAAGCGTGGGTGCAGAGCGGGAGCAAAACGGAGACAGAGAAAGAGGAAATTCAAACCATCTCTTCCATCGATCATAATGGGCAATGTGAGATCACTGGCCAACAAGATGGAGGAACTCCAAACCCTTTCAAGGACTCAGCCAGAATTTTGGCAGTGCAGTGTTATGTGTTTCACTGAGACGTGGCTGCAGGACCTTATCCCCGATTCCAGCGTCTCTCTGCCAGGATTCCTGACTGTACGAGCAGACAGAGATCTGAAGAGGAGCGGGAAAAGTAAAGGAGGTGGAGTGGCAGTGCTTGTCAACAACAGATGGTGCCATCCAGGTCATGTTTCAGTGAAATGCCGTCTCTGCAGCCCAGATGTTGAACTCTTGGCAGTAAGTTGTCGCCCATATTATTTGCCAAGAGAGTTCACCTGTGTTGTCTTGGCAACCGTTTATATTCCACCTTCAGCCATTGCTAAAAATGCATGTGATGCCATCAGTTCCATTGTCGCTAAGCTACAAACCCAGCACCCCGGTGCATTTGTGGCTATATCTGGTGATTTTAATCATGCCTCGCTCTCTGCTACACTTCCAACATTTCAACAGATTGCCAGCTGCTCCACCAGAGAAAACAAGACATTGGATTTGTGTTATGCAAATGTAAAGAATGCATACATGTCCAAAACCAGACCTCCTCTGGGACAATCAGATCACAATATTGATTCCTCTGCTCAGAATACAAACCACTTGTTCAGAGGCAACCTGTGACAAGAAGAACTGTGAGAAAATGTTCACAGGACGCTGAAGAAGCCCTGCAGGGTTGTTTTGAGACCACAGATTGGATGACTCTCTGCCAAGGATATGAAGAGGACATCAATGCCATGACTGGATGTGTCACTGACTATATAAACTTCTTTGTGAGAAACATCATACCCACCAAAACAGTGAGATGCTATGCTAATAACAAACCCTGGATCACCAGAGAACTGAAGAATCTGCTAAATGAGAAAAAAAGAGCTTTCAAGGAGGGAGACAGGGAATTATGGAGGAGTATACAGAAGCAACTGAAGATCAAGATCACAGGCAGCAAGGAGGCATACAGGAAGAAGCTGGAGAACAAACTACAGAGGAGCGATATCAGAGATGTCTGGTTAGGGATGAAGAAGATCACAGGCTTCAGGCAGATGAAGGATTGCACAGATGGCAGCCTGGACACAGCCAATGAACTGAACAAGTTCTTCAATAGGTTCAGTTCAGGAACAAACCCAGCATCCTCCTCGCCTGTCCCCAGCCAATCAGACATTCCATCATCCTCTGATCCAACATTTTCCTGTCACACACCAGCACTTTTGTCCTCTAATGCTGTCATGGACTCTTCTTGTTCTATAAATCTGTCTTCAACCAAGTCAGGAGATGCTGCTGCCCCATTTACCTCCCCCTCCTACCTATCTGTCACTAGAAGTCAGGTGAAGAGGCAGCTGGAGAGACTGCACAGGAACAAGGCTGCAGGTCCAGATGGTGTTTGTCCCAGGGCACTGAAGGCCTGTGCAGAGCAGCTCCTTTGGATTCTGCAGCACCTCTTCAACCTCAGCCTGGCCCAGGAGAAGGTTCCAGTCCTGTGGAAGACATCCTGCCTTGTTCCAGTTCCAAAGAAAACTCGCCCATCAGTCAATGACGACTACAGACCGGTTGCCCTGACATCCCACATCATGAAGGTCCTGGAGAGACTCCTGTTGGTCCACCTGAATAAGCAAACTAGAACATATCAGGACTAGCTGCAGTTTGCTTATCGCCATGGAGTTGGAGTTGAAGATGCCATCATCCAGCTGCTTCAACCAACCCACTGTCACCTGGACAAAGCAGGCAGCACTGTGAGGGTCATGTTCTTTGATTTCTCCAGTGCATTTAACACAATCCAGCCTGATGTACTTTGCCAGAAACTCCAGAAGACACAGGTGGGGGCCTCAACTATCGCCTGGATTAAAGACTACCTGACAAACAGACCACAGTTTGTGAGACTGAAGAACTGCACATCAAACCAGGCGATCAGTAACATTGGAGCACCACAGGGGACTGTACTCTCACCATTCCTTTTCACCCTGTACACCTCAGACTTCCAGTACATATCAGAGACCTGTCATCTACAGAAATACTCAGATGACTCTGCAGTTGTCGGGTGTATCAGAGATGGACAGGAAGCTGAGTACAGAGAGCAGGTGGAGCGCTTTGTGGCATGGTGTGGAAACAATCATCTGACCTTGAACGTGAACAAAACAAAGGAGATGATTTTAGACTTCAGAAGAAACAGGGTGGAGTCAAACACTGTTTCCATCATGGGAGAAGAAGTGAAGGTGGTTGAGGAATACAAATACCTTAGAGTTCACCTGGACAACAGACTGGACTGGAGAAAGAACAGCAAAGCCGTTTACAAGAAGGGACACAGCAGACTGCACTTTTGAGGACGCTTAGGTCCTTCAATGTCTGTAGCAAGATGCTGCAGATCTTCTACAAGTCTGTTGTTGAGAGTGTAATCTCTTCAGCCATCGTCTGTTGGGGTAGCAGCATCAGAAGCAGGGACCTGAAAAGGCTAAACAGCCTAATAACAAAGGCTGGTTCTGTTCTGGGGACGACCGTGGAACCACTGGAGGAGATAATACAAAGAAGGATTCTCCAGAGAATCAAGAAAATGATGGACAACCCTGAGCATTCTCTTCACAAGACTGTCCGACAACGGAAGAGTGTCTTCAGTCAGAAGCTTCTTCAGTTTGGCTGCAACACTGACCGCTACTGGAGATCCTTCCTGCCAACAGCCATTGTAATATACAACAACTCTTTGATGACTTGATTATTATTATTATTCTGAGCTACTACAGCAATCAATTTCCCTCTGGGATTAATAAAGTATTTTTGAATTGAATTGAATTGAATAAAGCAACTGCTGCATCACTGGGACACTGTGGCAACAGCCAAATGTGTGATGTCACATCACTGGCTCGTGGTAACAAAACCCACTCAGAAATAGTTCTGTTGGCTTGTGTTGGGGAAACATTCGCTAGAGCTTGAAGTGAATGCTTTGTAAGTACTTTTTCTCTACACGGGATTCTCTGTGTGTGAACTGATTAATGTCAAACAGACACTCTAAAAATTGAAAAGGCAGAGACAAAGACGGCTGAAGGAATTCGAGAGGGAAAGGAGGATAAAGCAGTAAAACACCAAACAGATGTGCTGTAAAAGGTTCCTGCACACTGAGCGACAGGTCAGTGTGAAGTGTTGTGATTAGACACTCACAGAGAGAATGTTGTATTCCCCAGCAGAGGAAAACTTCTTGGATGACACAAGGCCGGTTTTTGGCTCGATAAAGAAATTTCCGTGCTCGTCTCCTTCCTCGATGCTGTAAGAAATCTCAGCATTCGGCCCAACGTCGCGATCGGATGCAATGACCCGATACACGGGGTCTCTCTTTGTGGCTCGCTCTTTCTCCGGCCTCTCACGCTCAGGGAGCTGGATCTTGTAGATCTTCTCCAGGAACAAGGGCCTGTGGTCGTTCTCGTCGAGGACCTGGACGATGACCCGGACGGTGGTGGACTTGGGAGGAACGCCTTGGTCTGTAATGGTGATCTGAGGGGAAAGAACGAAGGCTTTAAACCAGGAAGACAACAAGGCAACAAATGTTATCTGACGAAGAGAACTATGAATCCTATCCAATAACTCTAAAAGCCTCTTTTGTTCTTTTATTTTCTGGAAGCAGTCACAAATCATGCTGTCAGAATAGCCAGAGAATATGTAAAACCAGGAAGAAAAAAAGTCAAAGTAAAGCTTATTCTCTCCCTTTGTTTTCTTTTATTTCAAACAACTTCATTCTCACAAAGATAACTAGGAGGAACTCTCACTGAGATTTGCTGTAAGACAACTTCTTTCATTAATGCACAGTGGTAACAGGACGTCTTTTACCCTGTCATCAAACCATCCTTTTGTTGAAGAAAAGAAGAAAGTCATAATAAAAGTCCAAATATTATAAAAGGAAAGAGTGCCTGTCAAACAATTTCAAACATGTGACTCAAGCTAAAAAATACAGAACCAGCTAATAATTCCTGTGCGTACGTAAACAGAAGGTAGGTTCTGACAGCAGTTTGGTCCTTCTCCTGCACAACAAAAACTGAATGTAAATGAGCAGCACTTAAGAGCTAATTAGCTGAACTTCATGCATAAATTCAGATTGTTAGCATTAGCTTTCCTGTCTCAAACGGTTTGACTCACGGCTGTCAACTAAAGGTCAGGAGCTTCTCTGATAGCGCACATATTGTGAAGTAAATCAAGTTTATTTGTATATAGTACATAGCATAGTGTATAGCACTTAAAGTGCAACAATGATGCCCAAAGTGCTGAACATGGACTTATCAAAACAGCAAAATATAAGCAGTCAATTAAGGACATAATAAACAGTGTTGGGCAAGTTACTTCAAAACTGTAATGCATTATTTATTACTTGTTACCCTCATTTAAAAGTAATTAATTACAATACAATATTACTGATTTTAAAAGGTAAGGCATTACACTACTTTTGCATTACTCTAAGTTACTTTCACCAATACAACTTCAATATGAATCTGGTAATCTGACGCTCAGTGAGCTCATGACATGTATGTGGAAGGTGATGTGGTGTCTGAGCTAGGATTGCTGTTAAAAACAGTCAGATATAATAACAGAGCTTTAAAATGATTGTTTATTAAATTAAAGCAACAACAATCTGTACTCTCAGCACGCTGCCATCTTATATTAACTGAGCAGGGAGTGAGGTGGTGGGGGCTCCAAGCCTATATTTGCCTTGGTCCCCAAATGCCTTGATACGGCCCTGGACGTGGGACTGACTTCTGGGGTGATCTGATTCTATCACATGTATAAATATTAAATGCTTATACTTTCCACTGGTAAAAATGTGTATTGAGGATAAATCTACCTACCTACTACTTTTTTCTTTTTTTTCTTGATTTTATTTGAATAATTTCCGGCCCTTTCTCTCTCTAACCTTCCCGCATGCTGCATGTTTTCTCCGTCTTCCAGAAAAAACTGTTTCCTAGATTTCCTACATTCTAACTAATCAGCCAAAGGGATCTACCGAACACACACACAAAAAAAAATAAATAAATAAATAAAAAGCTTCATATGCGCTGCGCTCCAGCAGCAATGAGTTGAAATCACCGGGGCACAGATTATGAACTCAGCTGAAAAGTACATGAAGTACCAGAGAATATGGGCTGATACAAACGAACGCAAACAAATTACTTTGTTTTGGTGGAGCGATTTTGTGAATATAACAGCGGCTGCACGCAGGACACAGCTGGAGTATTTGAGCCATCACCGCTGCGTCCACTCTGCTCATAGAATGCCCGCAAAGCTGAGTCCATAAAAGACGTCATATATGTAGATACTGGATCTTTTTTCAGGCTTCCCGCTATTTGAATTTTTAAGAAACCCACATCTTGATTCTGGGTTTAAAAATGCATTGTAATTTCCGCGTTACTGACCATTGTACCGAGTAAATATTACCATTTTCTTTCCCTGTAATGCCTTACATTACCACATTACAGCAAAAAGCAGTGCATTACAGTAATTAATTACTTTTGTACCACGTTACTCCCAACACTGAAAATAAAATACAAAAAACTATACATTCAAAGACATCAGACATATGAAATGGTAAAAAGCAGGACTACCAAGTCAACTAGGAATGTTAAAAGCTGTCGAGTATAAATAAGTCTTCAACAGATTATGCTTGCCTAATGGAGATGGTAAACATATTCCACAAAGTATGTGCAGACACCGAGAAAGACCTAAAGCCTCTTCTCTGTAGCCTTGCCCCAGGAACACTCAATCTATGCTGATCAGCCGACCTTAATCCACGAGACAGAATATAAGGTACGAAAAGTTTGCATAAATAGCTAGGAGCAAGGTCATTTCTCTATCAACGGTTAATATTTCCTCTGTTGTAGATAGCTCTTGGGACGTTCTCAGATAGAGAATTGATGAGCTAAGTAATGCACGGCATAACCGATATATGGTTGATATTATATAAATTTAGTCACAAGGGTGTGTTGTTATTGGCACTAGGGGTGGGCCATATGAAAAAAAAAATCATATCGTGATTTTGTTGTTGCAAAATCACATGTACCCTTCAAATCTGAGACTGTCTGGTTAGTTTTCTACTGTGCCCCTAGTGGAACACTCCAGTATTACATGCAGTGCAGCAGCAGGTATGTGAACAAAGACACAGCCTGCTGCCTGCATGAGGTTAAAAATCAGGCATATTCCAGGCCTAACTATAATGGCAGCCTTTAGCTGAGGATTACGCTTCACAAATGTCATGCGATTATTACGCATCCAGTAAAGTTAGGGTTAGCCTTTAACATACTAATCAAATCATAAATATCGGCTTCTCCAAACTGAGGTCTTTAAATTAAGTCCATACAACAGGTAAGATAATAGTTGTGCATAACCTTTATCACAGAAACCCACTTTAAATGATCCTAATAATCATTTTTACTTCATTATCAAACTGAAAAAAATAACATCTTTCATTTTATACAAAACACCAACTGTTGTTTGTTGCCCTTCAAGGCATCTTTTAATTTATTCCATGACTTAAAGCATCAGTGTGACTTTAGACAGCTGAGTGCATGCACTGTGAAATGTAATGAAAAAAAAAGTTAAGAGCCACGGGCTGACCTGGAAAAAAAATAAAAACTATAATTTTTTATTGAGTTCCCCTAAAAAACTGAAGTGGGAGATTATGCTTTGGCACTAGAGGACATGCAAGCATTTCTTGCTTCAAGCTGAAAAATACTAGCCTAGTGAACTAGACCAAATTATTGCTTTGCAAAGAATACATAATAATACAGTTATTTAGTCTGGCTTGCCAGGCTAGAAAAATACAACATGTAGAACAAATGTCACAGTCATTTAAAACCATCTGCTAAGTGCTTCCCTAGAAACAGTCAGGAGTCCAGGGCCGGGTACACACCATTTGGTACCATACTTCCAATTACTAAAGTAATGTGTTTTTGCTTTTCTCGCAGCGTCTGCAGCTGTCCGTGCTGTTCACATGAGCTGAATCAATTATACGAGCTGACAACGAAGGTTCAATGAAAACGTCTCTCCAAGGATGTTTGTGCTTTTCCTGCTCAGAGTCATGGAAATGTTCACGATAAACAAATTGGCTTCAGGAGTGTCTAACGTCACTTACTGTGTGAAACACATATGAGCCATTGTTCTTATGATATGAAAAATGTAAATAGTGTATAAAGGAGTAAGTTATTTATTTATATTTGCAGCAGCGAGCATCATTGTTTCAGAACAGAACTGCTTTATTAAGCTTATAAACCAGTAATTGACTTATTTTACGTATCTAACATATTTGACTGGACAAGTTAAGCGAATGCAGGAAATAGGGTTAGAAGACTATTTTCATGTTTATCCTGCATGAAAAACTGAAAAAGTTGTGATTTTTTAAAATTTATTTACCGTATTTCTTGTGTGTGTGCAATTCAAACTCCTACGTGGCAGCAGTTTTACCACCTTCATTCTGATGGAACAAGATCTCATCTCACAATAACACTGAATCTGTTGGAAGTGTCTGGTCCGAGTTTCCAAATAAACTCATCTGGCTTTTAGTATAGGGAGCCCAAAGCCTGATTTATACTTCTTCGTCAGATTGAGTGTGGAGCTGCGTACATGCGGAGATGTCTTTCCTTAGGATCTCTCCGTTGCCTCGGAAGAGTTACAAAGCAATTCCCCAACTGGACAACAGAGGGCCTAGCATTTTTCTAGGGTATCCAGCCAGTCCATGAAGTCTGTGACATCACATATGCAATGTCTGATTTGTAGTAAATTCACTTACAATTTTTTACATACAAATTAGGGCTGTCGCGGTAACCGCAAAAATGAAATATTGCAATATGAAGAAACCCACCGCGGTGCATCATGGGCCACCGTGATTACTGAACTTGGTTCAACTCAATGATGCATGTTGAGAAGGATGGCTGCACTGGTATCAAAACGAAACGTTACTTCGCTCCTTTGGGAGCACTTTGGTTTTCAGTACGTCAGCTGCTGCGCAGCCAGATTCCTTGGCCGAGACAGAGCTGCCACCAGGGGCAAAAATAAATAAATAAATAAACGCTCGGAGACCTGCTGAAGTCCCGGACAAGCACTGCTTCTGCAACCGTCCTGAAGAGAGTTTGAGCCGAGCTGGAGCTCACTCGCTACCTGCAGGAGGAATGCATCCACCCTAAAAAAAACCCCCTGACATGGTGGAGCAACAACCGGGAGAGATTCCCTTTGCTCGCCAGAGTCGCACGCAAGTACGTGTGCGTTAGCGCAACGAGCGCACCATCCGAGAGGGTTTTCAGTGTTGCTGCAAATGTTGCCACCCCTCTCAGATCCTCTCTCAACCCGTTTATGGTTAACATGCTGGTTTTCCTTGTGGGTAACAAGGACGTGACCGAGCTATAAAGCACCGTCATTCGTGTGTGTGAAAGTGAAATGATAGTGCACGCGCCCGGTACATGTAATTTTTTATGCTTGATTTTAAACAACTAAACAAAATGGGGACTTGTTTCTTATTTGTTAGATGCTGCAGCCAAATTTGCATTTAAAAGTTTAACCTCCTGAATTTTGTTGTTTTTAAGTTCAGTCGGACTCCGACTGTCGGAGAAACAAACGTTACTGCGATCTGTGTTGTTACTGCCCTTTGATCTGCATTCAGTAAAGTGTTATTAAAGAAGGCACGGCAATTTTTAACCTTTTTTAAATGTGTAAACATTATGTTTAGATAGTACTGCAATAAAAAAGGGCTGCAATAATATCGCACACCGCAATATTAAGCCACCCTGAATCACCGCAGGGGGAATTCCTCAACCGCGACAGCCCTAATACAAATAAATCTAAAATATGTAACAGACATACTCAAAACTAGAGGTTGACCAGTATTTGTGTTTCCATTGCCAAAACCAATGCCAATATATAGGAGGTATGGTCAGCCAATGGTCGATATGTACTGCTGATTTTTGGGGGCCAATATTCAAGGCCAATGTCTAAATATTTTCCACCTTATTTTCATGTTAAAATGTCACTAATAACATCAGCTGATGCTCAAACGTTTGGAAGCTGAATCAGTTTTTTAACACCGAACTGTTCAGTCTTAACGTTGTGCACTGCTCAGTAGTAAAGTCAGACATCTAAATAAAGTTAATTTAGAGTGTTCATATGCAGATGTTAGGAAAATTAGATTTGAATTAAATTCTGCAACAGCACCGAGCTGCCCAAGGATGCGCCTGACTTTAAATCAGCTTTACTAAGGACAAATATCGGCCCGATGCTGATGTGTTAGAAATGATAAATATCGTCCCAATACATCGGCCGACCGATACACAGACCTACCCCTAGACGAAACACATAATTATTTACCATTGAAATAGAAGTACAACATGTGTGTGACTCAGGGAGTAAGGCAAACGCACACTCCTAGTAATTAAACTAATACATGGGAATGACGCGTAAAAACAGAAACGGGGCTTTTTTTTAGTCCCATTAAGAAGATTTTAATCAAATAAATATTACACTTTTTCCATTAGGCCAGTAATTTTCATCAAAATAATACTCAGACCAAAAGAAACAGGGGGGCTGTTTTAGAAGGAGTTGCAGAGAAATGGAAACCTAGAATCTGCATGGCAACAACAAATGCTGATGTGCAAAAAAAATCTAATTTAACAAGTTTCCTCTTATTTAATATGATCTGTGTAATTTATCCATTAAACAGCACTATGGTTGGAGGACTAATGGTGTCAGGACCCCCTCTAAGGATCTAACTATCTTACCTACTCTCTCTCAGCTGTGGCTTGGTGAGGCAGAATTTGGCTGGACAATTCTTCAATGATTATCTTCTCTTTTAACCCTTTTGGGTGTTGGTTGGTTCATTAATAAAGGTGGACTGTGCCAGATTTGAACACAGGCCTGATTAAACTCTGGCTGCAAGCTGCAGATGTGAACTGCCCATTTACGTCTGCTTTAACATTACAATGTGTTTCCTACAGACCCAAGACCTGAATACTCGGCATGTCCTGGCATGTCCCACTTTTGCTATTTACCCACCCCCTCCCAGCATGGATAACGGCCTCTGATCCTTCCGCGGAGCCCACACTCCAAATAAGAGCAGCAGCTTTGCCTTTTCTGAAATTCCCCCACTGTTCTTAGGTCTGTCTCTCTCTATGCACACACACACACACACACACACACACACACACACACACACACACACACACACACACACACACACACACACACACACACACACACACACGACAGCTACCAACCCCCATGTGTCTCATCGTAAAAGCTGAAGGTTCCCCGTGCTCCCCCTCTACAGCCCCCTCTTCTTGGCATTTGGTACAAACAATGCTGACACAGCCCCCCTCCCACCCTAATTGCTCCACTCCTTTCCATAGAGCTCCGGACCCCACGTGACTCTCAGTTAGTGGACGCCATTTTGGCATGCAAAAAAGGTAAACAAACACGGATGCAACCATGAACATGAACGGGATCCGCTTGGATTTTACTTCGTCTGAGTTTACTTCACACTTTAAAAAAGAAGAAATCGTTTTATATAGTCAGAAATTAAATAGACTAAACATCTCCGACCCTTACCGTGCCCCTGGGATACTTTTTAAAAACGCCAGAAGCTGTCGGAGCGGACTTCTTACCGGCACAACACCGGACCTGGCCGGGTTCCCCCGGCCGGAGGAGCTGGGGAGAAGGTCTGGGACTCTCGACTCTACTGCCCGCTCCGACGCCAGAAGCTGTCGGAGCGGGCTTCTTACCGGCACAACACCGGACCTGACCGGGGAACCCCTTGGGATTTACCCGGAGGAGCTGGCTCCGGCGGCTGGGGAAAGGGAAGTCACGCTACTGCCCCCGCAACCCGACTCCGGATACGCGGATGAAAATGGATGGATGGACGGACAAATAACAGATTTACACGTAAGTAGTCTCTGTGAGACAGATAATAGAAATCCAAAGTGCTTTTTATGTGTGATCTGACAATTGATCAACCATTGCTTAAAAATTAAATACAGCTTAGCCAGTTAATTGCTGTCATCATCAAACACGGAAACGGCAGCACGCAGAACTCACGAGGCAACGTTTTACGTGATGTTTACTTGCTGCTATGAGTAATAAGACAGAAAAAGCCACGCCAAAATAAGTTTAGGAAGCCCACTAAGAATCATAATAAAAGCATTTAAAATAAACACCATACACAGTTGAGGAAACATTGGTTTAAGTACCTGATATGAAGCGGTCGCTGCATAAGTGAAAACCTTTACTCTCGGGATCCCACAGCTTCATTTTCGCCCGGTCACTAGTGCGTTTTATTACAATGATCCAACGTTTGCGGCGCTTTGGATCTTGGGGAATCCTGTAGATGGCCCATTCCTTATGTCGTCCGCGTCTGTTCTGCATCCTGGGGCACAACAGGAATCTACCATATTTCCCGTTTGATTGAGTTTTCTGACAATAACAAATAGTCCAGCTGCCGGCTTCTGCCTGCCAATATGGCGCTGTTTCGATTTGAACTGTTGCATGCCGGGAGAAGTGACATCAACTCCCGGAGCTCTATAGGCTCCAATAACAAGTTTTTGTGCTAAAATGGGAGGTGGCCACCACCGCCATTTTGACCGTGTCACAGGTTCCGTCCAGCCCAGACAATTCCAAAAAAGGGAAGAGAGGTGGAGCTGAGGGTGGGGCTGTAAGGCTGGGATCAACTGACGACAACCGGTCAAACTAGCTACAAGCTAACCTGAAGCTAACCCAAAGCTAACGCGGAGGTGGGAGCCGAGCTAACGGATGTTGCCACCTAGCTACAACCGGAGCTAACTCTGTGGAACACCCATCGACCGCATGGAGTTCAGGTGGAGGTTTGCGGCGCTTTTTCATGAGAAGTACCTTTCTGTGAATAAAAAATATTAAATCGGTAAGTTTATAAGTTATTTCCGTAATGAAAATATATTTTGCTTTGAGCAAGTTTTCACTATTTTTCACGTACCGTATTTTCAGGACTATTAAGTCGCTCCTGAGTCGCACCAGCCATTAAATGTATAATGAAGAAGAAAAAAACATATATAAGTCGTATTTTGGGGGGAATTTTTATTTTTCTTACAAAATCTGAGACAAAGCGTTTCACATTGCAAGACAAGTACCGGTAACAATACCCGAATAATGCGCCGCAGCAGCGCCACGGTCTCCAGCAGAGGAAGGTGGTGTTTGAAACCCTCCCAGCGGGACAGGGGAACTCATTCTTGGGTCGGAGTCGGCCCGCAGCAGCACGGTGTAGCCTACAAATTTTGTTATATAAGTCGCTCTGGAGTAGCAGGACCTGCCAGACTATGAAAAAAAGTGTGATTTATAGTCCGGAAAATACGGTAGTTATTAGTATTTGAGATAAATTAGCAGGCTAAATAAATTTTATATATTTCCAAAATGTAATACTTGTTTGTATCTTGTACAGCCAACTAGCCTTTATTCTGGACTCAGTACAATTCACCAAAAGTAAAGAGACATTATACAGATGAAGTAAGCACAAGATAACTTACTGGAAGACACGGAATTATTATCATGAGAACCAGAACAAGACAGCCTGATAACAGTCATGTGAAAATAACAGTTAAAAAGTATGTATGTGTAATAGAAATAAAAATATATTAGCAATCATGAAATGAGGTCTGGGAGTTTTTAAGTTTCATTCTTTTATTACATTTTTTTCTTAGATCTGTTAAAAGGTCACCATGGCAGCCTGTGTCTCCAACATCAGCTACACAACGCAGCAAGTGTAAGTTCCAAATACCTGTCTTGACCACTTCATGTATGGTTTTGTAGTTTAAACAGCTAGGCAAAACCTGTTATTTTTTCTCCATAGCCATTTGGATCATCGGTGACAGCTGAGTGAGGCGTGGTGCCCAGAGAGCTGCAGAGACCCTGACGTCCGTGTCTCCTGGTTCGGTTGGGGCGGACTGAGGTGGAAAGACCTTCTCCCCTTCTTTTTCAACTCCATGCATGGAAGAGCAGCTCCTGATGTCCTTCTCATCCACTGTGGCGGCAATGACATGGGGGTGGTCAGCAGTGTGAATCTGGTGAACATGAAGAAGGACCTGCACCGGCTTCACCTTCTACACCCTCATATCACACTGTTGAGAACTGTTCTTCCTTCACAACCCAATGTTCCACTCACTCTGCAGCTCTCTGGGCCCCTTTTATTATTTTAAGTATTTTTTAAATGTCCCGACACTTTGTGTCCTGTTATTTTATAAAATGTGATGTAAAAAAATAAATGTTTTTGCTCAATTACTGGAATTTCTTTGGTTAAGACAAAAAAGGAAGGAAGAATCATTTATGCCAAGTTGTTTCTACAACAGGCCTGTTTTAAGTCCAACAGTTTCTTAGCAGCCAATAGAAATGTGTTCTTTACTAACTTTACTTGGTTTAAAAATCTTACTAAAATAAACAGAGTGCTGTATTGCAAAACCAAATCATACTTGTTATGTAAATATTAGCTTTGTAGATATTTTTTACAGATAGATATTTGTGTGCTAAAAAAAAAAATAACTGCCCGAAGGCAGTGCAGAGTGATATTAGCTAAATTAAGTGAACCACGTCTCTCAAACTTTGGACTCTCTACGAGTCCGAGAGCTCCACGAGCAGTCAGCCCCGTGCGAGAGCCGCGCAGCAGCTAGTAGGCGCCGCATCGGTCAGACATGCACCGGGCTGACCGCCGGGGAGAACCGGGTGGAAGAATGGAACACAGAAGTGTCCCTCCAAGCGCTCCGTCATATTTCAACCCATTTTTATGTTAAATGCACTGGGTTTTACCTTTTTACCCATCGACATATGCCCTATTCATTATTTTACCGTATTTTACATCTAAATTTCATGGTTAAACAGTACATGCTACATGTTAAAATGATAGTTAGCTAGCTACTTCGATATACTCAGCTAGTTTAAAGGCGGCAGTGACCTAAAATACATACATTTGATTTAACTTACCGAAAAAAATGAAGTGGAGACTCCTTGGATGCTCTATTAGTGCAATTAATGCCACAGCAAGTCATTTTGTCCAACAATTGCACAAAAAATATCCAAAAAAGAATACACAAACACAGAGACTCAAAATCCCGGAACAGTTTCCAGGCCAGACCGAGGCTCTACTGAGGCCTGTCCACGGAGCTAGCTCTGTGGTCACGTGGGTCTGATGCTCATTAATTATACAGAATTTTAGGCTTTTAATACACTTAAACAGAAGAGTGAGAAAAAAATTCACCCCCCTCAGAGTTGTCATGAGTGTAAACCAGATCATTTAAACCTAAAACATGTTTTGGTACCAGGCTGTAAACATGTTTATTTCTGCAGCGAAATTGGTATTTTTAACATGGGAGTCAATGAGGATTTGCTCGCTTCTGACACCAGCCCCTAGTGGATGAGGGTGGAACTGCAACTTTTGGTACTTCCGGGTTGAGACCAATTTCTGAGCCGCATTGTGGGGGCTTGGTTCCACACAATGCAACGTGTTTTTGTTTCTTCTCCTACAACACGTTAGCAAAGAAAGACCTCAGCAATTATTGACCTGCCATGCTAGACCTAACTGTGTGTTTTAAAGAACCCCGTCACTCCGTGAATTCTGCTTAGGTTCAAATCTTCAAGGAGCAGCTAACAAAAACGTTACTAGCTACAGTGGTCTAAAAAGAACTCCAAGCCTTTGTGTAGTTGCTCACTAAAACTCATCATCCTTAAAAACTTTTCAAACTTTCAATCAGGATATTTGTTCATAAGTTTGATTTGAAATTTAAAAGGAGAGAGAAGAACGGGCATGTGTGAAGCCTACTAAATCCTTTAATCAAGACTACACTTTGTGAAATCTGATCCTAGATTTAGACATTTATAGTTTTTACTCACATGCTGGAAGAAGGTCGGTTAGGGTTAGGGTTATACTTCTAGAAAACCACTGCGTAGCGGAGCTTAAGGATTTCAAAACATTTAGGTGTTTTTCTTGGGCAAAACAGGGAATACTCAATCCTATCATTCCCTCCCAGTCCTGTAATGCAATCAGCATGTAGTGGTGTAAAAGCAGAGTGTGAAATATGATACGGTACAAGGCAGCAGCACTAACCGTCACCAAGAGATTACTGAACTGTGCAATTTCTAACAATAATTAAAAGGTGATCAATCTGCTCCCCGTCTGAGCCGGGAACACAATTAAAAGAGCTATTATGAACGGTGGTTCTGTGGTGCGAAGGAGGAAGGGGACTGTTGGGAGAGGAGCTGAGCTCAATTAAATCCCACAAGTTTAGACATTGGCCTGTTGGTATGACAGCAGTTTCCTGTCTCTGCCTGCTCCATCCGTCCACAAGACGGAACATTGGGAAAGAACAAAGGAGCAGTCACCAGGCTCTCCCCCACACACACCTCTACCTCCTACCCTGTCCGGAAATCAGTAGGAGTGAGGATTCCAAATAAACGTTCCTGCATGTATGTGAAGACTTTTCAGTTGGCAAACGTCTGGAATTTAGTTCCCATTGAGTATGTTAACCCTTTTCGTTTAGGATCCTTATAAACACGTCACAAACTCTTTTTCACTTTAGTTATAGATCTTTTTTACATTTAGAAATTCACAGTGAGCAATCAGAACTCCTTGTTTTAGGCATTTACCTCGAGTATGTGCTCATCCTGCTGCTCCCTGTCAAGTTTCCTGGAAGTGGTTGAAACCAGACCTGTTGGAAGACAGTCAAGCACAATGAAATCAATCAGAAATGATAAGGCAAGCAAAGCATAAACCAAACAGAGTTTGGGACAAAACATGGAAAAACTAGGTTTGGGTTTTTTTTTAGTCTAGGTTCTGAAGAAAATCACAATTTCGTTTGTATTAAATGAACTGCTATCAGACATGAGAAAGACACAACAAAGCAGCAATATTTGACTGAAAGTACAACTATTTCAGTGTTATCACTCGCTGTAGGCTACACTAGTCTGAACTCTGATGGTTATCTCATCTGTCAGCCTTGAGTAAAAACACCCGAGTTCTGAGGCAGCACTTTGCTTGTGGTCTTCCCCGCTGCCAGACAGCCCTCCACGCTGTCTGACATGTGCGAAAAATCACAAAGATTTGCAAACAGCACCCCAACAACAGTGCAGCCTTGACACCCTACTTTTAGTTTCTCCACAAGCTGAATAAATAGACGACTGGATGGCATCAGCACTTTATAGTACACACAGAGACATTCCAGAAAAGATCCTGCTGTCTGCTCTAATGTTTTAAGTAGCCTGATTGATGTCAAGTGACACTAAAACCAAAGGGAATGCTGATAATAGCAAAAATAAAGCAAGCTGGGGTCTGTGAGTTCCTGGCTAATGCAATTTTACACCGCGCTCACAAACAAGGCCAGATTGGATCAGCAGTTACATTTCTCCATCATAGGCAGCATTCAGCTCTCACTCCCAGAGTAATTGCAACTTTGTAGATGCTCAAATGTAGAGTAGGCATGCCAGCTCAAACCGCAGCAGAGTTTTTTTCTGCTAGCCACACTGCGTCCGATTAGCATACGTAAAGGACTTCGGAAACCCAAGCCCATCAATGGCACATACGCCTGCATCAGGAATAGCTGGCCACGACTTGTGGGTCCACAGAAATAACCCTACCCGTACTAAGATTGAAGGATATGAAAGAGGCACCCTTGCTCCCTCTCCTTTTTTAAATCCACTTCAATTCCTCATCTACTTGGCGATCATGCTTTGGCGATCATGCTTGCTCACTTGCAGCCATTTTTATATTTTACATCTCTTCTCACTAAAGAAAATGCAAAAATGAACGGTAAAAAAGAACTATAAAATAAACCGGGCCCATTTACCTACAGTTACAAATTCTCCCACCAATCAGTGAGCAAAACAGATGTCCCAACACTGACATTACAAATTGGGGTAAATAAATTTTGCGTGTCCAAGGGGGATTATTCTCAGGCGTGCTGAGCGTAGTCTGAAACCTCAGCGTGGCTTACACGAGCGAGCGTTATCATCAAAACAAATAATTCTGCTGCGCCACATCAAAACAGGCCACACTGACCAATTATTCATGTGCTTCAACAGGGCCGGAGATGATGGATGATAATGTTTTTAAGCTCCCCTGTGTGCTGCGTTAGGCAACTCTTTACATGTATTCCACAGCAGAATACAGATCAAAGCATTAGCTTCAGCAAGTCTACATGTCTTCTTTATTATTTATCTTCAAATCAGCTGCTTCACCAAACCCATAATCACAAAATGTTGCCTTTTGTGCAGCAAGAAAACTATTTTCAGTGTACCCAAAAGTCATTCTGGGGAGGAGGAAACTAGGCTAGTTTTAGCTTTTTATGAAAAGTGTTGAAAACTCAAGCTGCTTACACATATTTAGGAAATTTGTGTTGGTTAAGGCAGGTAAATGTTTTCCTTCAGTTAGTGCTTTTGATATGGATGAGAAATTGTTTAAAGTACACACTTATGTGCACATTACAAAGGAAAATAAAAAGTAATTGGAAAAGTATTTTTGCAATAGGAAATTAGGCTGAAGTCAGTCTAAGGACAGCTACATTTATCAGCAGTCTGAGAACATTTAAATCTAACAAAAATTTCAAACAAGTGTAAAAAAAACTTTCATCAAGGTTCACTTCTCAGCTGAAAAAAATCCCAGCATAGCTGTTTTGGTGCTGGTTTAGCTTGGTGCAGGATGGGATGCTGGTCTAGCATCTAACCACCAGCATCCCATCACCGAAACACAACATATGCTGTTTTTCAGCAGGGTTAAATGATAGTTTACACTGTTATTTCAGTAGGAATTTTATAAAATTCTATGAATTTCCAGCAGAAAGTTTTCCAACACCTAGTATCTTTTCCCTCAGAATGATGGTGCGTTCCAGTTGTCCTCGGAACTCGGAATTTCTGAGCAGGAAGTAGGGCTGGGCGATATGACGATTTTAGACCGTTTTACGATCCACACATCTGACGGTCTGTCATTTTTGAGAGACCGTTTTATCACGATTCACAGCTCTGCTGTTGAATTTCTGCCTCTGAATGAAAAGGGAACTTACCCCAGGCGAATGACACGCCTTTGTTTGACCCTTAACCAATCCGAGTGAGTCATAGTAATATATTAGTGCCCCGCTTGTTTTCATTTGTGTGCGAACAAACATGGCTTCGCCGCGGCTGAGCGACAACGAGGTTTTCGTTCCGAAGAGGAACGCAGGGTTTCCTTAGCGCGCGGCGCTAACAACTTAGTGACGTGACATGTCTCGGAGAAAGCGTGAAAACACGTTGGACGCTTCTTCTGAAGCAGGAAAATAACACCGCTTCTTAAGCAGAGCACGACGTCGCCTCGGCTCGTTCACCCTCTGCCGAGCCGGTGTCGGTACCGGACTGAGCTCGGTCACTGGGTCGCTGGAGCTGCCCCGTGACTGGCTGATGGAAAACCAGAGGGTTTCATCAGACTCATAGTTTCTTGTTTTTGTTGGGGACCCCCTGTATTTTACCGCTCCCTCCTGCAGTCTTCCTCTATTAACATTTAAAATGATTCTGTAAACTCCGTGTATCAATAGAAACAATCTCCGCCTCTGCCAGCTGCAGTAAATGTAGTCTCCAAATAATAAGAGGTGCATTCATCTGTGTATCTCCTTTGATCCGCATTAGTGATATTTTCAGCACCAGAACAGTGAAGCAAAGAAAGATTCCTGAGTTTGTTAGTAATTTTATTTATTAGGTGCATCTAACCTGTTCTATTTTTCTCTGAAATGAGATCAAATCAGTGCTTCTATGGGTTGTCTCCAATCTGCACTGGAAAATTTTACTTTATTTAGAGACTTGTTGCAGAAAATATTCAGAATGCGCAGTTTTTTGCTACCACAAGCGATCTCTGGTCCAGCCGCACATCAGAGCCGTATTTGAGCTTAACTATCCACTACATGAGCAACTGGGGGCTACATAGTATTTTGAACAAGTTAATGTTTGCACAATACGTTTGCAATTGACATGTTTGCACTTTAAATAAGTTTACGATTTTAATTTATGTTAAGTTACTTGAAAAACGAGAAAAACTGATTTTTGTAATTGTTTCTCTCAGGGCTTTTATCATCTCTGGTGTGAGTTTAAAATATAAGTATGTTAGTACTGTGTTGATTATCCCTAATATGAATAAATGTTTGTTTATTCAATGTTTCTCTTCTTTAATACGCAATTGAGGTTATGCTATTCATGGATAAAAAATCGTGATAAAGTCTAAATCGTGATAAAATATTGGAAAAATCGTGATATTCTATTTTTGCCATATCGCCCAACCCTAGCAGGAAGTGACGTAACGAGCTCGTTTTGCGGTCCAGCTTCCAACTCGGACAAAATGGATGCCACCAGTGTTGTTGAGTGCTAAACCAAAAGAATTATAAAACCAAGTATTCTCAGCATCTAAATGATAGTGACACACATGCCTTTCGACAGTTGCCACATACAACCAGAAAAACATTGCAAATCAAATGTAAACAACGCCAGGAGAAGTAAAAGCCATAAACTACTGTCAAATTTGGTGACAATGTTACAATTTTCAACAACGTAACTATTGATAACAACAATAAACAATTTACCAGTGCTGTTAAATAGCAAAAAGAAAGAAAGCAGAACATATAAATGAGAAAAAAATAAAGACGATAACTACTTTCTGGTAGCACTGGGGGCAGTCATCTTTAAATTTGACATCTCGGGGTCCTCTGAAACCTACGAGCTTGCAGCTCGGAATTCTGAGTTCATTGCGTCATTTTTGACTAGCTTATCTCGAAAAAACAAGTTCTGAGGACAACTTGAACGCACCATGAGTTTGAGTTCCTTGAAGGTTGTTTTCTTCCTGCACAAAAGCTTACATTTTGAGATGCATTGTATTGGTCAAGCAGCTGATTTTAAGGTCGACATCTAGACTAATACCTTGATCTGTATTCTACTTGTTTCAAAACAACAGTAACAGCAACCCTGCCATGTTTAGCTGTTAGCTTGTTTATCCGTTAAGAGCTATTGTATAAGCTGTTCATGTCTAGTTTTTCAGATTACGTTTCTGACAATAAAACAATGATGGCTGCTTTAATCACACCAAAACACATCATCAATCCCACTTGTTTGTTGAAACTTTTCTAGATTCTGCTTCAGTGTTTTATTGGATAAATTCAATTTTTTCATAGCTAGCCATGTTTTTTCTTTTGGTTATGCAGGGCATTGAGTGGTTGAGATGTTTAATGGATTACAAAATAAGTGGCCTTCCCAAAGTCTCATAGGTACTGTAATAAATGTAAATTATGGCAGTCTTTTGAGAAGTGATAGAAGAAAATAAAGATTCACAAATATTTAATAGCATTATTTTAATCCAAGAAGTTAGATTGTACATTTTTGACAAATGGGGGCAATACAGGCTAATTTAGTAAAAAAAATAAATAAATAAAATAAATTGTTGCCCTGAACAGATAGCAGATGTCCACAAGAGGAAAGTGGTTTCTGTTGGTGTGAAATGAAATTATAGCAGAGTTAATGCAAATTTTCTCACCAGCTGTGGTTGTCATTATATGATGGTATTATGCTAATTTGTTTTCAGGCTTGTAGATGCTCATATCTCCATTATCCAGGAGACTTACTTTTAGGGGTGAAATTAGGTGATTAGTTTGTTGCTCATTAATGCTTATTGGTTACTGCATTGCTGGAAATTAATGAGGATGCC